AGACCAGAACTTTACTCCGTGAGTAGGATCAGACCAGAACTTTACTCCGGGAGTAGGATCATACCATAACTTTACTCTAGGAGTAAGATCAAACCAGAACTTTACTCTAGGAGTAGGATCATATCAGAACTTTTCTCCGGGAGTAGGATCAGAACAGAACTTTACTCCAGGAGAAGGATCAGACCAGAACTTTACTCCAGGAGTAGGATCAGAACTGAACTTTAGTCCAGGAGTAGGATCAAACCAGAACTTTACTCCGGGAGTAGGTTCAGACCAGAACTTTACTCCGGGGGTAGGATCAGATCAGAACTTTACTCTAGGAGTAGGATCAGATCAGAACTTTACTCTGGGAGTAGGATCAGACCAGAACTTTACTCCGGGAGTAGGATCAGACCAGAACTTTACTCCGGGAGTAGGATCAGACCTGAACTTTACTCCAGGAGTAGGATCACACTAGAACTTTACTCCAGGAGTAGGATTAGACCGAAACTTTACTCTAGGAGTAGAATCAGACCAGAACTTTACTCCAGGAGTAGGATCAGACCAGAACTTTACTCCGGGAGTAGGATCAGACCATAAATTTACTTTAGGAGTAGGATCAGACCAGAACTTTACTCTAAGAGTAGGATCAGATCAGAACTTTACTCCTAGAGTAGGATCAGACCAGAACTTTACTCCAGGAGTAGGATCAGACCAGAACTTCACTTCGAGATTAGGATTACCAGAACTTTACTCCGGGAGTAGGTTCAGACCAGAACTTTACTCCGGAAGTAGGATCAGACCAGAACTTTACTCCAGGAGTAGGTTCAGACCAGAACTTTACTCCAAGAGTAAGATCAGACAAGAACTTTACTCCAGGAGTAGGATCAGACCAGAACGTTACTCTAGGAGTAGGTTCAGACCAGAACTTTACACCAGGAGTAGGTTCAGACCAGAACTTTACTCCAGGAGTAGGATCAGACAAGAACTTTACTCCGGGAGTAGGATCAGACCAGAACTTTTACTCCAGGAGTAGTTTCAGACCAGAACATTACTCCAGAAGTAGGTTCAGACCAGAACTTTACTCCAGGAGTAGGTTTTAGTGTATAGGTATAGTGTTTTCAGAAAATAGTTTAAAATTGGGAATTGTTGTCCTCGTCATGTTTAATAGTTTATCGATTTATACCCTGGATCTGGGCCAGGGCCCAAAAATCCAGTATTTCAATTTGTGCCCATGTTTCTGACACTTAGTGTTAGAAATGGGCCAAGTATTAGTTTTGAACTAATGTCTCCTACTGTAATTTCACAATTGTTTTGCGTCTCTACATATCTCATGAACGATGTTGTTTACATAAACATCTAGGAATATATGACATTATGTAAATATTCAAATTTAAATATTCGAATAAACCCTGTAAATGTGTGTACAATATATACACGTATTCTCTACAATGATACAAGCTTTCAAAGACAAAATCCTCAAAATTCAAGCAAATGGGTAAAGCTATATATCTTGAATAAAAAAGTAAGAAAGCATGCATAAAATAATCCGTAGAATCAGTCTTTAGATGATCTCCATTGACATGTGTATTCTTATATTTCTACTTACTTAGCAGCAAACATATTTGATTTTTCTTTTTGTGAAATTTTCAAAATTTGTTTTAACATATTTGATCGATACAGGTTTGAAGAATACTTTTATTAATTGTTTTTTTTTAGGGGAATTGTACTGCTTTACACTTCATTTATGATCGAAATTACATTATATATGTGAAACATGCTTTTTTGTTCTTTATTGAAAAAACAAATATCAAAAAGTTATTTTAGCGAAGAGAATTAAACGTTAAAAAAACAATCAATCAGTCTTTTTATAAATCAAGCATCTAAAACCTTGCCCCAAAATGCAGAAAAGCAATAAAAGAAGAAATATTTTTAAAGTTTCTAATCAACTTTCAACAAACAATCTTCGTTTTGGGTTTAAACTGGAGTTTAGATAAGAAAGTAAAGAATTGTTAGGGCTTAATGAGACTGTTGACGCTATTTTAAATAGTTACTTACCTGCTTCACCATGGTTCTCTTTAAACCCTTTTCTTCGAGAAAGGAAATTGTCATTTCTATCTAGAAACGTGTTAAATTCCCACTTTTATAGAGGACAAAGATATCTCGATAAACTTAGCTTAAACAAAGGTTAAAAGGAGAACAAGGATATATTGATAAACTTAGCTGAAACAAAGGTTAAAAGGAGAACATGGATATCTTGATAAACTTAGCTTAAACAAAGGCTAAAAGGAGAACATGGATATCTTGATAAACTTAGTTTAAACAAAGGTTAAAAGGAGAACATGGATATCTTGATAAACTTAGCTTAAACAAAGGTTAAAAGGAGGACAAAGATATCTTGATAAACTTAGCTTAAACAAAGGTTAAAAGTAGGACAAGGATATCTTGATAAACTTAGCTTAAACAAAGGTTAAAAGGAGGAAATGGATATCTTGATAAACTTAGCTTAAACAAAGGTTAAAAGGAGGACAAAGATGTCTTGATAAACTTAGCCTAAACAAAGGTTAAAAGGAGGACAAGGATATCTTGATAACCATAGCTTAAACAAAGGTTAAAAGGTGGACAAAGATATCTTGATAAACTGAGCTTAAACAAAGGTTAAAAGGTGGACAAGGATAGTTTGATAAACTTAACTTAAACAAAGGTTAAAAGGTGGACAAGGATAGTTTGATAAACTTAACTTAAACAAAGGTAAAAAGGTGGACAAGGATAGTTTGATAAACTTAGCTTAAACAAAGGTTAAAAGGTGGACAAGGATATTTTGATAAACTTAGCTTAAACAAAGGTTAAAAGGGTACCGTTGTGAATCGAAAATGTCCCTCTTAGCAAGGAAGGTCTCTTAAAATTACGTCAACAGTCCCTTTAAAATAGAAAAAAATGATTAAAATAGACAAATTTTAAAATCATAAAGTTTTAAAGATTTGGCACAAGATGTAATATCTCATTTAAACTTGTACACTGTGTAACTGTGAAGGCTTGTCAGAAAGTTAGATTTGTTACTCTTCAAGTTTTCTCATTTATGTCTTCACTTGGTGTAACATTTATCGTGATAATAATAAGTGTATTTTTTGTTCAAAAATCGTTTTAAACTTTTCGTTTACTATACGTCCAAAAATTATCAAGAAAAGAATTCGTTTTGGACAAAGTTTTAGAGTAAGAAAATGGGAAAAGTTTTTATTACAATTTTTTTAATTATCTATTTTCTCTTGTTTATGTTTGCAATTTAAATAAAAAATTTCTTCATATATATTATGTTACAAAAATTTTTTTCCCCAAACCACACACGACATATTCCTGGAGAAAAATCTTTTGCCCCCCCCATTTCATAAAAATACGTACATGAACTTCCTATTATTTTAGGGTTAGGTTAAGACAATTTCTGGGCCGAGCGCTGCGGCTTGGACAGTCTAGGGGGCCAACCGCCGTGGCTAGAACAGGCTAGGGGGCCGGGCGCTGCGGCCACATGTTCATCATTTCATGTGCATTTTTGATGAAGATGGGGTTGGGGAGTGGGGAAAGGTCCAAAATCGCGCAAAAAACATTGATAATTGCACGCAATTGCACACGCTCGACGGAATTTTGACTACATTTTAATTTGGGAATTTAAAGAGTTCCCCTTTAAGTTTGGGAATTCAAAGATTTTCTCTTTAAGTTTGGGAATTTAAAGAATTCCTTTATAAGTTTGGGAATTTAAAGAGTTCCCCTTTAAGTTTGGGAATTTAAAGAGTTTCTCTTTAAGTTTGGGAATTTAAAGAGTTCTCTTTAAAGTTTGGGAATTTAAAGATTTCCCCTTCAAGTTTGGTCATTTAAAGAATTCCTCTTAAAGTTTGGGAATTTAAAGAGTTCCCTTTAAAGTTTGGGAATATAAAGAGTTCCCCTTTAAGTTTGGGAATATAAAGAGTGCCCTTTAAAGTTTGGGAATTTAAAGAGTTCCTCTTTAAGTTTAGGAATGACATTTCCCTAATTAGTTGTATGATGTGTCCTCTGGTTTATACTATGCCAGGGATAGAAAGTGAAACTAATGGGGCTTCAAACAATTAATAACTTTAAATTAATTTCGACCATCTAAACTTACAGTAATGTATTTCAGTATCCAGACAGGGGACTTGAAGTAAGCAAAATATCTCTCTTATAAATTACCATCATTTTTTTTAACAAAATATTTTTTAATACCTGAAATTTGCATTGAAATTTGCAACCCTGAAACGAGAATTGCAATGTTACAAGGGATGCTTGAGGACCCAATATAAGATTCTCTGAACCCTCAGAGATATCATATTCCCTTCCTAATATTGGATCTTTTGCTTCCTTGTAATTAAGAAAAAAATTAATAAAATTTAATTTGAAAGGGATATTTTAATTTTGATGTTGTAATGGAACATGAATAAAAAAATTATTCTAGTTTCTCCATACATTTATTAAAAATAATAAGAATAACATTTCTTTCAAAAAAATCCCACACATCAAGACAAAAAAAATATTACAGTTAGAATATTAATTTTTTTTATGCTGAATTATTTTTCTTTATAAATTTTAGATTTTTAATACAAATTAAATATTAGCAAAAGTTGGCATGACTTTTGAAAGGTACTGTAATTACAAGTAACCCTCCATTTATAGAATGATATGCAGACCGATTTTCAATGTGGAATTATCTTTAGTTTTCTATCTCAAGATTGATTATTCGCCATTGTGGTATAAAAGTGACTTATTGTTAGTGAGATTATGTAAAATAAGGGTTGCATGAAATTACGTTGACAGTCCTTTTAAAAGAATGAAATACAATTTGTACAAATGAATTACGTTGACAGTCCTTTTAAAAGAATGAAATACAATTTGTACAAATGAATTACGTTGACAGTCCTTTTAAAAGAATGAAATACAATTTGTACAAATAAATTACGTTGACAGTCCTTTTTAAAAGAATAAAATACAATTTTTACAAATGAATTTTTCAAAAATCTATTTATATGTTATGATTTTCAAATTAAAACTTGAAATTATACTTTTTTCCATTCTTGAAAAATCTATATTTTGAATCCAGATACTGTTGTTGCAGCTGTTGAATTGAAAAAGTGTCCAGAGCTGGGCAATGTCCTAAATTATTAAGATTTAATTTTTTGTTTTGTTTTTTTAAAGTCTAAATAATGGGTTTATGAATCTTGGTGTAAAATAAGTTAAGGTTTAATTACAAAGTTTTATTCAATTTCCGGAGTTCTGATTTAGATTAAATTATTTGCTCAGAGCTAGTCCAAAACTAAAGAATACGCGAATTTTCAAGGACTGTAAGTGCAGTTTCGAGTGACCACCCATGGCAAAGATGCCAATGTTCAATTTACAACGGTACCGCATGAACAAGTATGATTTAGATTTGCATGTTTTTGTTTATTTAAATTGATTATTTTGATTTGTGGTTTCTTTGAATAAGTGACTTTCGCATTTTTTGTTTATTAGAAACTTGGAGAAATCTACAGAAATTAACACTTTTGAGCAAGATTTCGAGCCAGATAAGCGTGGAAAACGACTAAAACGACCAAGAATGTCTCTTAAATTGCTCTTACAGGCCCTTTAAGTTAAAGCTTAAAAGTTGTTGAAAATTATGAGTTTAAGGTTTAAATTTAATCCCAAACTATGGGATATATGTCTACGCAACCCCCACTTGAAAAATCAATGCCACATTTTCCGTAGAATCTTTATTGACTGAGAGAAAATGAGCTGCGTGGATTTAAACATTTAACTCGTCAATTTCGGTAAATTAAATTTTTAAGCTTTCAAGCAGAAGATATTTTGGATTAAACTTAACATTTGAGCTGAAACTGCTCATTCATTAGTTTTGGGCTCTGGAATAAGCTGTTCAATGTCTAATGGACCGGTCGGGACTTGACATCAAAAGCGGAAATGTTTAATTTGAAGCGATTTTGATAGTTAATCTGCTAAAAACAGCTGTCTTATATTTTTGAGATATTTCCATGGCCGGGGGGTAATGAAAAATATTTTTTACCTTGGGCAAACTGGGCCTTGGCCTACTCCTGTTGAAAAAAGTATAATAATTGTTTGAGTTTAACTTTTGATTCTTTTAATCTTAAAGTTTACAAAAGTCCGCATTTGTAATATGAAATGATTCTTTATTGAAAGGATAAGAATCCGAGACCGAATTAACGAATTTTGGTCAGATCGCGAAACTACCGCCACGCCGCCGGTTCAAATCCTGAGTCACCAATTCAAAGTTCAAGATATGAATCGGTGATTTAGGATTTAAACCGGCAGTAGAGGTAGTTCAGCGACCTCTTCAATTCATTAAATTCCGCCCAGGGACCTAATTTCTACACTCAACAACGCCGCTGTAAATAACCAATTTACTGAGTTTTTGCCACTAGCGCATATTTTAATCTTTATATCATTGCAACCTGTGGCCGAATTTAAATAATTTGAGTGGCGGTTTAAATTTAAGCCGCGTTTAAATATGGTTGGTTCCACTCAAAATTGTATCAAATGTTTCAAGATTTAAGCCGGGTTTTTGCGGATTTAAACCGCGGCTCAAATTCTTTAAATTCCATCTCAGATGGTTCAAATATTTAATATTTCAAACTCAGATTATCTGATCTCAAAGACTTCATAGTTTGGAATATCTAAGGTCTACGACATTGGGTTGTAAAGATATAAGGATTAGAGAAAAGAGTTTGTGGCAATAACTCATTTCCTTTGGGCACAAATTATTTGTATTATTTGTATTATTATATTGTTCCTATGATATAATCCAACCAGTAGGCAAACAGGGAACCTATAGTCAGTCCTACACTGTAGGATATAGTCATCAGATTACCACTGTGCTCCCTCTAAATATATATTTATATATTGTCATCATATTACCACTGTGCTCCCTCTAAATAAATATTTATATATAGTCATCAGATTTTACCACTATGCTCCCTCTAAATATACATATAGTCATGAAATATTACTGTGCTCCCTCTAAATATATATATATCTATATTCATTAAATTATCACTTTGCTCCCTCTAAATATATATATATATAGTCATCAGATTACCACTATGCTCCCTATAAATGTACATATAGTCATGAAATACCACTCTTCTCCCTCTAAATATATATATAGTCATTAGATTACCAATGTGCTCCCTCTAAATATATATATATAGTCATCAAATTACCACATATAATTATGAAATATCACTGTGTTCCTCTGAATATATATATATACATAATTTATATAACGTCATCAGATTTTACCACTGTGCTTCCTCTAATTATATATATATATTTTTTTAAATAAAAAATGTGAAGTTAAAAACTGAAATATATATATACATATATATATACTCATCAGATTACCACTGTGTTCCCTCTAAATTTATATATATATNGCAGCTTCTCAAAGGTATTTTCCAAGCAGCAGCTTCTCAAAGGTATTTTCCAAGCGGCAGCTTCTCAAAGGTATTTCCCAAGCAGCAGCTTCTCAAAGGTATTTTCCAAGCATCAGCTTCTCAAAGGTATTTTCCAAGTGGCAGCTTCTCAAAGGTATTTTTCAAGCAGCAGCATCTCAAATGTATTTTCCAAGCAGCAGCTTCTCAAAGGTATTTTCCAAACAGCAGCTTTTTAAAGGTATTTTCCAAGCAGCAGCTTCTCAAAGGTATTTTCCAAGCGGCAGCTTCTCTTAAGGGTATTATCCCAAGCGACAACTTCGTAAGGGAATTATCCCAAGTGGTAATTTCCCAAATGTGCAATTTCATCAGCGGCAACTTCTCATGTCCGTCCTAGCGGCATTGCTCGGCCCTCTAGCCTGTTCTGGCCGCAGCGCTCGGTCCCCGTTGCAGATTGCAGAAGGCATAACCTAAACTTTGGGAAATTTCAGATTTGGGAAATTTCCACTTGGGAAATATTCATTTTGGAAATTGTCGGTTGGAAAGTTGCCCATGGGAAAATGCCTTTGAGAAAATACCTAGCACCGATTGAGCTGTATACTGTATAAGAATGGAGTGAACATGAATTGGGAAGGCCTGAGATTGAATGATCTTCTTCTGTATACCAAACTTAGGAATAAATATACTCAATAGTCAATACCATCTATTTATCCAGCTCTTGCAATGCTTATGCCTCATTTTCATTGACTCAATTGCAGCAATGTTCTTGCTTGTCTGGTTTTGTAGAAATCCATCAACTGGAGGTTGGTCTACTAAGAGATGTAGTTTGGCAGAGAATAAAGTAGGCAGTTAAAGTGAGCAACTATTAGTTTTAAGGAAAAGTCACAAAAGAAATCAAGTTTTGGCAACAAACTCAAATTTTCTCATCCCTATATCTTTTCAACCTGAGGGTTTAGACCTTTGATATTACATGCAAACTTATAGACTATTTGATCTACAGCATCGGGTTGCATAGATAAAGGGATTAGAAAATCAGAGTTTGTCAGACCTCAACCCCCCCCCCCCCGACAAGTGACATTTTTAAAATGTAGTTTTTATAGAACCTTAGGTCAATTAGTCTAAAATTCGTCGAATCCCCCGGCCACCGTCATTGCACATCTTATTTGACAAAAACTCCCAACTGCTTCTTCTAAAATCCTCAGTTCATATATGTCAACACCAAGTGCAATTTAGGATAGCATCTGGAAGGAAAATAAAAAAATCCTCCAACCATCCCCCCTCCCCCGCCTTTTCAGGGTTAAACAACATTGAACATGAAGACTATCTGGGCTTGTGGTGATATAATCCGATGTTCACATTAACACCCTGTTTAAGCCTAATGGAAAACATCTTGAAGAATACCAATATACAAGATAAACAATAAACATTCAATATAAGATGGTAGAGAGGGGGGGTACAAAACAGACATTACACAAACAATAAAAAAGTATAACACAAAATTATTTTTTATTTAAATTCCGTGATTTTAGTATTAGATTATTTTTCTTCTGCTATATTTCCGTACACCACGTGACCACACTCAAACACAATTTAATAGCTAAAAACACTAACTACAGATAAGCTTGGAAACGAGACACACAGGACTAACCAGAGTGAGCAGCATTCGGTTTCTTCAATTTGAAATCAAACCTGTTTTGTTTAATAATTCAACAATCTTTTACCTTACGGATTTGTTTATTTTATACTTTTTCATTCAAAATGTATATGCCTACAAAAAAGTATTTAAAAAAAAGGCTACAAAATTATTTCTAATTTGTCAAATTGTAATCGAAAGTCACAGCTTTCTGGAATATTGACAGAACCGTTAAATCCACGTGGGGAGAAGGGCTGTTTGCCCCACTCTTATATTTCCTCACGCAATTTAATTTTTACTTTATTCTTTATTACCTTACAGCTTTTTGAATTTAAGCTAAATTAATAAAGAGGTTTCTTCAAGGTTTTTTTTAGAAACAAAAATCTAAAATAGCTCATAACTTTTTTATCATTTGAGCTACATATATGTGATATTAATGAATTGAAGTGAAAACATATGTCGCATGGTAAAATTCAAATTACATTTATCAGAAGTACTTTTTGCATTTTAAAAATATTTCTAGCAATAAAATAAGGCGGCTGAATGAAATAAATGTTCTTGAAAATTTGGTCCAATACATGTAATAAATATCGGGCAACACAATATGTGCAGACCTAAACTATGTTGTACATTATTAGTCATCTACATTTATAAAACCTAGCTATGTAAAACCCATTATTCATTTTAACTGCGCGTCAAAAAATAAATACGTAATATGATAAGCTTAATCATGTGGTATAAGATGACATACATCTTAATTTCTTCTATTTTTAACTATGCTGTAAATACGTGGTATGATTAGCTTAATCATGTGATATAGATAACTACGTAGAAATTTTAATTACGTCTATTAACTTTAACTTATAACATAGAAAACTCATATACATAAGTTGATATAGAGACTCTGCTTCAATTACTGCAATAGAGTATCATGTCCTTGTTCTAAACGAATGAGTTGAAGATCGTGCCCATTGGTTTGGCATTGATAGTTGCATGCTGGTTTCTATGTAGACATTGATAGCTGATGCAGGTGCCTGTTGGTTTGGCATTGATCGATTAAGTGCTTGTGTCCATGGAGAGAAATTGATAGCTGACGATTACGAGCTTGTGTCCTGGTTGTCATTGTTAGCTGATGAGATTGTGTCTGGGTTTAACATTGATAGCTAAGTGAAACCAAATTGTACCTGGATAGATACGGGTTTGAGAGCAGTTTATGGAGTAGGGTACTTTCTATAAACATGTATACTTTTAGAAGCCCAAGCCTTTTTAGGGTTAACAATATAGTACTTTATTCTATACTAACTTGGGAACCTAGCTTTGTCTGAATTTTAAAACCAAGCTAAAAACATTTTCGTGGTTCTCCAAAGTTTTCCAATCAAAATTTGAGTCGATTCAGTTGAGGGTTTTGTGAGTTAATGAGGCAATTGTATATCTACCTAGCACAGGGTGTCCCAATAAACATGGGAATTTAGTGACGAATTCGATATCGTCTTTTTAAATAATTCTTTGATTTAGTATGTGATACCTACTGAGAAAGCTGTAATCTGTAAGAGTTTCGTCTGCTATTTCACATTTTGTTTGTTTATGTTTTGACAGCATACGGTTGTACTTAGTAAAATAAGAAAATTGCAGTATACAAACAGTAAACTTGTCCGTCTTCACTGTTCATCTTGCGGAGACATTATAGACACATCTTTACAGCCATTTACCGTTTTTATAAAATAAACTCTAGCAGCCATAATAATAGTATGGCTTTGAAATTAGGTATTACAATGCTAATTCATAACAAAGACGACATCGAATTTGTCACTGAATTCCCATGTTTTTTGGGACACCCTATATATCTGCATGATATAGTTTCATGTTAAATGTTTACGAACATGGCTAAATCATAATTGTAAATTATATAAAGTAAAGTATAAGTTGTACTAAACTACATTAATCCATGTATTGCATGTATATTGTATACTTGTAATATACAGAGTACTGAACTAGATTATACTGCAAAGGAAACCCTAGTAGACCTCAACAAGGTTTTAAACATGAATTTGCCTCAATTACTCTAAGAATAAGTTTTGCTTTTAAATGTGTCAACGTTCTACCAAAACTTATATATGAGATTAATATATATTTCAAAGTTCTAAACAGATCACATTTAGAAAATACGCAACAAATTTGAAAATGACGACAACCCAGAGGAGACTAAACAGCTTAGATACTTTTTAACCTTTAAAAAAAAACAAATAATTTTGAACATCTTGCCAAAAATAGATAATTTTGAACATCTTGCCAAAAATAGATAATTTTTAATATCTTGCCATAAAAAATACAGATTTGGGTGACACCGCAAAGGAGAAGGAGAAGGTCAAATTTATGCGACTTTCTTGGTACGACTTTGTGACCTCGTAGCTATTCCAGTTTTAATCTACGCACAAGGATGAGAAAAGCAAGTTTATTTGGTTAATTACATAAAGCTCTACAAAAAGAGGAGTTTTTTAATTGAAAATATATCAGATTTCAATTTTACTTGAAATTCACTTTAGTTTAATGTGGAATTAAAGTTTGAACTTCATTATAGCATTTATCTTATAAAATTTACTTTAGTTTAATGTGGGGAATTAAAGTTTGAACTTCATTATAGCATTTATCTTATACAATTTACTTTAGTTTAATGTGGAATTAAAGTTTGAACTTCATTATAGCATTTATCTTATAAAATTTACTTTATTTTACCGTGGGGGATTAAGGTTTGAACTTCATTATAGCATTTATCTTATAAAATTTACTTTATTTTAACGTGGGGATTAAAGTTTAAACTTCATTATAGCATTTATCTTATACAATTCTCTTTAGTTTAGTGTGGGGGATTAAAGTTTGAACTTCATTATAGCATTTATCTTATAAAATGTACTTTATTTTAACGTGGGGAATTAAAGTTTGAACTTCATTATAGCATTTATCTTATAAAATTTACTTTATTTTAACGTGGGGGATTGAAGTTTGAACTTCATAAAAGCATGTAACTTATAAAAACTGACAAACATAATAATTTCTCTTGAATATTTTCTGCGTTACAAATTTTTTTTTGAATAAAAAATTATGATTTTTTTAAAATCACTTTTCTAAAAGTGATGTTTTTCTTTCTTTTAAAACTTAATGTAGTATTTTGTGTTGTATGTATGTATTGTGAATTGTTTGTTTTTAATAAACTGTATAACACAGAATTGATACAAAAAGGGCAAAGGAACTGATTACTCACCTAAAACTCTATTTTTTAATCCCGATATTTTTGCTACCAGAGTCCGAATTGAATGAATTTAAGCCGCGTCTCAAATCCGCCCAAAACCGATTTCAACTAAGCGCCGGCTTAAATCTTGAAAAATTGAATACAATTTTAAATGGAACCAACCATATTTGAGCAGCGGCTCAAATTTTATAAATTCGGCCTCTGATGTCTCAAGACCATTGATATTAAAAAAAAATATAGAGATTAAAAAATTTGTTCACTTTCTTAAGTTCCGAAGAATGTGTAAAATGATTAAATCAATTGATAAGAAATTTTAGATTTCAATCATGGTAAATATATATATTGAGAGTATTCATCTACAACTTTAGCATAGGCTTACACACTTGATAAATAGATAGATAGATAGATAGATAGATAGATAGATAGATAGATAGATAGATAGATAGATAGATAAATAGAAAGATAAATAAATAGATAGATAGATAGATAGATGTAATGTAAAGGTTTAAGGTAACATTGGTTAATGTGAACGTGTAACTATTTTAATGGAGGGTCACTTGAAGTAACATGCTACCAACAGTCCCTTTATGTTACTCAATATATATCTAATATATTACACTGCAGTACTGGGCCATACACCACTAAACCATTCTAGTTAATTATCTTACTTACATACCTAGCTATACATCTATACATCTATACATCTATACACCTATACACCCACCTATACACCTATACATCTATAAATTCATACATTTTTTTTCAGATGAAAATACATTTTAGTTATTAGTTTCTATTTTTTATTTGAGTTGCCGGAGTCGGGAATGGAGATTCAGGCTTATAATTATGGTCCTATCTCAGTTTATTCGCTTAACAAATACAGAAATATCTGTCTATCGTCTTTAGTGTTAAATTGTTATTTGTCTTTGATATATTGGTTGAAGGTGGTCTTCTGCTGACAACATGATGATCATGACAAAAGAAAATATTTTAGAAAAATCCATCAGCTCATCTTTATACCCGGCGGGGGGGTTGCAATAAAAATAAATGTAATAAATAACAGTACATATTAAACTTTTAACTAATTAAGGATGACGGAGCTATCCCTATGTTTTCCATAAAAATGTTTTTAATTATTATTTAAAAATTTNAAGGATGACGGAGCTATCCTTATGTTATTCATAAAAATATTTTTAATTATTATTTACAAATTTTTATTCGAATTTTTATCAGTCGTTTGCATGGGGTTTCTAGCTAACACTCCAGTTTACAAACTTAGTTTGCGTGAACTTTTTAGCAAGAAAATTACGGAGTTGACTGCTATCTATGTTCAGAGGTATCGTTGTGAAAACATCATGGAGGTAGGGTCATGGTTGAAATTACGGCTACTGTCTTTTTCAGCCATAACAATTTTTCCACATTTTATTCTCTTCAAAATTTGCAACATATGACCGTGTTTTAATCGATCCTGAAAATGAATTCAAGTGTTACAAGAAGCATATTTCCACTTTTTTTGGCAACAAACACCGATACTTCCTTCTTCCTGTTAAAGTTTGGCGCAAGAGCCTTGTATATATTCTACCCCTATCTTAAATCCGATATTGGATGTAGGGAAGTATTAAATAAAATTCAATATTTTAGAAATATATAAAATTCAAACGCCTCAGGATATATTGGATATATAAGTAGGGAGGAACTAGAGCTCTTTGAAATCAATATTTCTCATACCAAAGAATCTTGAACCTTTTCTATCAAGCAAGTCCAATATTACCTGGGTCAAAGTTTCTCAGTCTGAATATATGATGTTACTATTATTGAAATTTATTTAGATTTAGATTTAGATTTAGTAGAAATATTATTATCATGGTTAGCTTTATATTCTCTTTTTATTTTTTTTTTCTTTATAAAAATATACACAAATGTATTTATCACAAAAGGAAACTAGTTATTTTTTAATCGCCGTTTTTGCAACCTTGTAATATAAACATTTTATATTTGAAACATAGATAATTTTATCGAACAGAATTCATAATTTGACATATTTAAGGTTTACGAAAGAAGTTTTCCACAACACTGCATACTCAGTTCAACTACCTTACATAGCCGGTCACTCCCTTTAAGGTCTACGACAATGTGTTGCAAAAATATAAGAATTATAAAATCAGAGTTTGTGGCAAAGACTCAATTCTTTTCCAGTTGTGTAGTCAATGCATAGTGTAAACTGCAGTTTCCTATCTCTGCTTAAAAGTCAGTCATGTTCTTCAAATGAACCAGCATTTTCAGTGGTATGCGTGGTTCACACCGGACTAACCAGAGTGAACAGCATTCGGTTTCTTCTATTTGAAATCAAACGTGTTTTGGTCTTTAATTCAATAATCATTTACTTTACGGATTTGTTTATTTTATACATTTTTATTCAAAATGCATATGCTAACAAAAAAGTATGAAAGAAAAAAGGTTAACAAATTATGTTTAATGGGTCAAATTGTGATCGAAAGTCACATCTTTCTGGAATATTGACAGAACCTTTAAATCCACGTGGGTTTTGAACATTCTTGAATACTTAATGAGGATTGTCGTATCTTTATACCCGTATAAAAGTTTCCTATAAAACGTAATGAGATGAAAACCTACAGAAAACTCCAGACTTTAAACTTTTTACACGGCTTTTCACACTTTAATAAAATAAATAAATACATACATGTATCTTCTACATATAATAAAGTAGTAATCTCCATTTGTTTGCTTGTATGCCTCATCATAACTCATGAAACCCTGGACCGATTTGCCTCAAATTTTAACTAGGGAACTTGGTAGAACCACGGGAATGTTCTTAGCTTGGTTTAAAACATTTAAATTGAGAATTGGTCGACTTTGCCAGGCAAAGCTATTCAATATTTGGAAATATCAGACATTTTTGATTTATTATACTTTTTTATTACTTTTTATAATTTTATTCATCCAAATATATCAGATAAGGAAGACACAGATTTTTTCCAATTTTATGCTGTAAGTTTGTTTCGTGTTTTTAAAAAGATTTATATCACGTTCCACAACACCCGAATATTTCTTCGGTCAGAGTACTGCTAATCACTGCACAATACACGTACACCGAAACCTTTGTTGATGGTGACATATGTATCTTTCTGTAATTTTAATTTATGTATAGGTACGAATATAATACACATATGGTCATTGGTTATGATTATTATTATCATTATTATTATCAATATTATCTTATTATCATTATTATTAATATTATTATTATTATTATTATTATTATTATTATTATTATTATTATTATTATTATTATTATTATTATTATTATTATTATTATTATTGTGTTATTAATCTGATATAATAGGTTTATGCCTAGGTGCTATTAACCTGGTATAATAGGTTTGTACCTAGGTGTTATTGACCTGATATATTAGGTTTATGCCTAGGTGTATTGACCTGATATAATAGGTTTAAGTCTAGGTGTTATTGACCTGATATAATAGGTTTATGCCAAGGTGTTATTAACCTGATATAATAGGTTTTTGTTTAAGTGTTATTACCCTGATATATTAGGTTTATGTATAAGTGTTATTAACCTGATATAATAGGTTTTTGTCTAAGTGTTATTAACCTGATATAATAGGTTTATGCCTAGGTGTTATTAACTTGATATAATAGGTTTATGCCTAGGTGTTATTAACCTGATATTATAGGTTTATGCCTGGGTGTATTAACCTGATATAATAGGTTTATGCCTAGTTGTTATTAACCTGATATAAAAGTTTTATGCCTAAATGTTATTGACCTGATATAATAGGTTTATGCCTAGGTGTTATTAACCTGATATAAAAGGTTTATGTCTAAGTGTTATTACCGTGTTATTAACCAGATATAATAGGTTTATGCCTAGGTGTTATTAACCTGATATAAAAGGTTTAAGTCTAAGTGTTATTAACCTGAGATAATAGGTTTATGTCTAAGTGTTATTAACCTGATATAATAGGTTTATGCCTAGGCGTTATTAACCTGATATAATAGGTTTATTCCTAGGTGTTATTAACCTGATATAAAAGTTTTATGTCTAGGTGTTATTGACCTGATATAATAGGTTTATGTCTAGGTGTTATTTACCTGATATAATAGGTTTATGCCAAGGTGTTATTGACCTGATATAATAGGTTTATGTCTAGGTGTTATTAACCTGATATAATAGGTTTATGCCTAGGTGTTATTGACCTGATATAATAGGTTTATGCCTCGGTGTTATTAACCTGATAAAATAGGTTTATGTCTAGGTGTTATTGACCTGATATAATAGGTTTATGTCCAGGTGTTATTAACCTGATATAATAGGTTTATGCCTAGGTGTTGCACAGATGACCAGGAGTGGGATGAGAAGGATCCTGGAGAAGGGCCACAGTACCATCTCTGCTCTAGACCAGTTCTCATGTAGTCCAGCCAGCACCTAGAGATCGTGAAAATAAAAAGATCCAACAAAGATCCAACTCTCAGTATTGAATAAAACCAAAGACAAAACTTTTCTAACAATTCAGGGAAAAATGTTATAAACCGTGATTTTGCCCAACCCTGACAATGAGTATCATGTTTAGGCCTAAGTAACAAATTTATTTATCTTAACTGTTCAACTGTTTTAGTCTTTTTTCGTTTTTCTTAGTTGACAATGGATACTTTGCATAAATATTTTACAGAAAATTTTTCAAATCTAGAGTCGAGAATGAAAAGGGAGACATTTAATTAATTTATTTGATAATGTTGCTAAGCAAATCGTTTAAAATCATAACAATCGTCTTCCTTCTTCACAATTGTTTGGATGTAACTGTAGACAGAAAGTGTTTCAATAAAAGCTTAAAATTATGGCGGCATTAATAATATTTTCTCTCTCGGTTATTTGAATATCAAAGCAAACACTTCGCATTAAATCTGATATAGTAGTTATTAATGCTATGTTGTAAAGAGTGTCGATAAAAAAGAATACAGAAAAATCCCAGGGGAAGAATTTTGTTTTTTCTATAACAGGACTTCAAAGACCTGACTTGCCTAGTATATCTTACCCACCTTGCCTAGAAGATCATACCCCCTTCCCTAGAATATCTTACCCACCTTACCAGCATTTCTTACCCACTTTGCCTAGTAGATTTTACCCCCATCCATGTAGATCTTACCCACCTTACCCAGCAGTTCTTCTTACGCACCTTGCCTAGTAAATCTTACCCCCTTTCCTAGTAGATCTTACCCCCTTTCCTAGTAGATCTTACAAACTTTGACTAGTAGATCTTACCCACCTTGCTAATAGGTCTTACCCACCTTGCAAAGTTGATCTTACCCACCATACCTAGTAGATCTTACCCACTTTGCCTATTTATAGATCTTACCCACCATACATAGTAGATCTTATACACCATGCCTAGAAGATCTTACTCACCTTGCCTAGTAAATCATACCCATCTTACCTAGTAGATCTTACTCATTTGCCTAGTAGATCTTACCTGCCTTGCCCATTAGATATTACCCCCATAAATAGCAGATTTTACCCACCTTGCCTAGTAGATCTTACTCACCTTGCCTAGTAAATCTCACCCCCTTTCCTAATAGATCAATTACAAACTTTGCCTAGTAGATCTTACCCACCTTGCCTAATAGATCTTAACCACATTGCCTAATAGTTTTTACCCCCTAGCTAATAGATTTTACCCACTTTGCCTAGATGATCTTACCCACTATACCTAGTAGATTTTACCCACCATACCTAGTAGATCTTACTCACCTTACCTAGTAGATCTTACTCACCTTACCTAGTATATCTTACCCACCATACCTAGTATATCTTACCCACCATACCTAGTAGATTTTACTCACCATACCTAGTAGATCTTACTCACCTTACCTAGTATATCTTACCCACCATACCTAGTAGATTTTACCCACCTTGCCTTATAGATCTTACCCACCATGCCTTGTACCCACCATACCTAGTAGATTTTACTCACCATACCTAGTAGATCTTACTCACCTTACCTAGTATATCTTACCCACCATACCTAGTAGATTTTACCCACCTTGCCTTATAGATCTTACCCACCATGCCTTGTAGATCTTACCCACCTTGCCTAATAGATCTTACCCACCTTGCCTAGTAGAACTTACCCCCCATACCCAGTAAATCTTACCCACCATACCTAGTAGATCTTACAAACCTTGCCTAGTAGATCTTACCCAACTTTCCTAGTAGAACTTACCCACCATACCCAGTAGATCTTACCCACCATACCCAGTAGATCTTACCCACCTTTCCTAGTAGATCTGATATATTGAAGGCTGCTATAAGGAAGACAGGCATCCAGTCTCCAAACCTGCAGGAGCTTATCTCAGATTCTAAATAGAAAACCAGGTTTGTAATTTAATCCAGCTGAACCTTGGAGAAAATACCATCCAATCAATCCTTGGAGAATATACCATCCAACCAAACCTTGGATAATATACCATCCAATCAATCCTTGGAGAATATACCATCCAACCAATCCTTTGAGAATATATCATCCAACCAATCCTTGGAGAATATACCATCCAACCGAACCTTGGAGAATATACCATTCAATCAATCCTTGGAGAATATACCATCCAACCAAACCTTGGAGAATATACCATTCAACCAATCCTTGGAGAATAAATCATCCAACCAAACCTTTGAAAATATATCATCCAACCAATCTTTGGAGAATATATCATCCAACCAATCTTTGGAGAATATATCATTCAATCAATCCTTGGAGAATATATCATCCAACCAATCCTTGGTGAATATACCATCCAATCAAACCTTTGAAAATATACCATCCAAACAATCCTTGGAGAATATATCATCCAACCGAACCTTGGAGAATATATCATTTAACCAACCTTGGAGAATATATCATCCAACCAATCTTTGGAGAATATATCATCCAACCAATCCTTTGAGAATATACCATCCAACCAATCCTTTGAGAATATATCATCCAACCAATCCTTGGAGAATATACCATCCAACCAAACCTTGGAGAATATACCTACCAATCAATCCTTGGAGAATATATCATCCAACCAATCCTTTGAGAATATATCATCCAACCAATCCTTGGAGAATATACCATCCAACCAAACCTTGGAGAATATACCTACCAATCAATCCTTGGAGAATATATCATTCAATCAATCCTTGGAGAATATACCATTCAATCAATCCTTGGAGAATATACCATTCAATCAATCCTTGGAGAATATACCTTCCAATCAAACCTTGGATAATATACCATCCAATCAATCCTTAAAGAATATACCATCCAACCAATCCTTGGATAATATACCATCCAACCAAACCTTGGAGAATATATCATCCAACCAAACCTTGGAGAATATATCATCCAACCAAACCTTGGAGAATATATCATCCAACCAATCCTTGGAGAATATATCATCCAACCAATCCTTGGAGAATATATCATTCAATCAATCCTTGGAGAATATATCATCCAACCAATCCTTGGTGAATATACCATCCAATCAAACCTTTGAAAATATACCATCCAAACAATCCTTGGAGAATATATCATCCAACCGAACCTTGGAGAATATATCATCAATCCTTGGAGAATATATCATCCAACCAATCTTTGGAGAATATACCATCCAACCAAACCTTTGAGAATATACAATCCAACCAAACCTTGGAGAATTTATCATCCAACCAAACCTTGGAGAATATACCATCCAATCAATCCTTGGAGAATTTTGAGAATATATCATCCAACCAAATACTCATTTAATGAGTGTACTTCTCTAGGTGACATAATGTTGCACATTGAAATTTTTCAGGTTGTTTTGTTATTATTTAATAGAAATAATATTATTAAAGAATTGAATTGATAAACTCAAGAAAATTCATATTCCTACATTACATTTTTAATCATTATTTTAGAATTTTATGTCTATGGATGGAAAGGGAAAACCTTTCTTGAGTCAGGTTGTTTAATGTTTTTATTCAATTATTTTTCTCTTTTCTTAACAAAACATGAGAAAGAATTTTTGATCTAGTTTTAGCTTTTACAGAATAAAAGAGCAGTTCTTAAACCAGCGATAATAAAACTTAATCTTAAAAATAGTGAAATTCCTTTTTTGACAATTTAAAGTAGCAAAGATATAACCCTGCACCCCCCCCCCCCCCCCCCAGCGGGGTATTTTAGGAGGTCAGGGGGGGGGGTGATTGGTTTTTGCCATAATCTTCCTTTTAAAATGCATATGCTTTGTGTTTCATGAGGAGAAGAGCAATTTAAATCTGTTCACTTACAAAGATTGTAAAACGGACTTAAGATAAGAAATGTAGATATATATAAAGATTCTAATGCCTAATTATCATTTTATATATATTTGTTTTGTCTCGGAACCTCGTTTAAGGGTTTTCACTGAAATGAAACATTACTAAACGTATTAGACACATCTCTCAAAAATGTATAAGCGGCCGAGCCTTATTTGCCTTGAATACGAGGTTTATGGTGTAAACTCCATATTGCTGAACCCCCCCTGATACTCCGCTATTTTCCTTGAAGGGTTATGAGAATTCAGCAGTACTTTCTCAGTCTTATAATATACTTTAATCTCACATACCACTGAGCTCAATATTTTCATAATATTTTTATCTTAATTCCTGGACCAAGAAATAAGGGTCTGTGAACATGATTCCAGTGACCAGCCACATAAAGATGACAGTGCCCTTGATACAGTTTTCTGATAAATAATGTTGAAGATATCGTCGTTGTTGCTTAAAGGTGTTTAATTCTGACAATTTCATACATTTATCCTGTAACAAAAATCCCAAGATCACTTTGGAGAAATCAATATAAAAAAAAACATTTTCATAGTTAAAATTTTTCTCAAAGTTAAAATTTTTTTCAAAGTTAAAAAAATTTTTCAAAGTTAAAAACAGTTTTTAAAGTTAAAAACATTTTTTTAAAGTTAAAAACATTGTTTGAAGTTAAAACATTTTTCAAGATTAAAAACATTTTTCAAAGTTAAAAACATTTTTCAAAGTTAAAAACACTTTTCAAAGTTAAAAACATTTTTTTAAAGTTAAAAACATTGTTTGAAGTTAAAAACATTTTTCAAGGTTAAAAACATTTTTCAAAGTTAAAAACATTTTTCTTACATTCCTTCATAAACAGCTTCCGTTGAAAATCGGACATGAAACCCGGTTCTTTAAGATTTGGAAATATTAAAATAAATTTGGATCCAGTTTGCACTTGTTCCTGCTTTCTATACACCCATTGAAGGGTGTAGTGACCCCTTTCTTTAATATTTTGAAGTCCTCTATACAACTTTCTAATATTAAAAGACTAAATCCTTCAATTGCTAAAGTTTGAAATTGTTTGAGAAGATTTAACATACAAGAAGATTTAACATACAGGGTGTCCCGGAAATAATGGAACTTCCTAAATAAGCAGATTCAATATACAGGGTGTCCCGGAAATAATGGAACTTCCTAAATAGGCAAATTCAATATACAGGGTGTCCCTGAAATAATGGAACTTCCTAAGGAGACAGATTTAATATACAGGGTGTCCTAGAAATAACGGAACATCCTAAATAGGCAGATTCAATATACAGGGTGTCCCGGAAATAATGGAACTTTCTAAATAGACAAATTTAATATACAGGGTGTGTCCGAAAATAATGATAATTTCTAAAAAAAATAGAGATTACTTCTTTTTTTAATAAAAAAGCTCCAGACAACAAGTTTTAATTTTTTAGTGCTTCAGTTCTTAGTTTTCTACAAAAACATTTATTAAAAAATTCACTAAAAAGATATTTTTTTACAATTTTCAAATCTTTCATTTTTGGTCTCATAAATATCTAAAATGTTAATTATTTAGATGCTAACATTTTTAAACACGTACTTTTTTCATTTTTTTTTTCTGGTAATAATTCTAGCTTTTAAATAGTTATTTTACATTGAAACTTTCCGTTATAATCTAATATTTGTAATCGAAATACTTTCCCTGGGATCAACTAAAAGACTAGAAATTTGGGCCCGATCGGTTCAGTCGTTTTGACATTTATTGTATAGAACCAATATGAAGACAATGTGGATAGTAGATAGTTTACTTTAAGAGGCAGTTTAGCATCAATTGTGTTTAGAACCATTGGAGTATTAATGGTTTCCTTTGGTATAAATATATATATTTGTGTCTCAAAGGTTTCATAAAGGTTTAATTAAACTTTTTCTGAGAAACATTTTCTTTCTGATCTGGTGTTAAAGGAATCCTCTTAATTATTTATATTCTATATTTTAGTTCGAGTATTTTGAAAAGCAAGAAGTAGTTGAATCAGGTATGGATAGTTGCGCTACTTGTCTAGTGCATGGTATAAAGTGCACTGTGAAGTTACTTATAGTTTATAGAGTGTATACCTACTACCTAGTTTGCTCTTAACTAAATCAACCCTTGCTCTAAATTAATTTATAAAAAATCTCTTCAACAGTTTTGTTTTGTCTTACATCTTAATGTAAGTTTGCAAGAAAAATATTTCAAAAAGTTTAAAGGGTATCGATTTGGAAATGCCAATCTTTAAATGGAATGGAGAGTCACTTTATATAACGTTTAAATTGATTTATTTATTCTTATTTTCCAGAAAAAAAGAGGATGATGATTGATGGGGCAAAATGAAGAGAGAGAACCGGACAGAGAAGAGATGTGCTAGTTCTTTTTGCATTTCAAGTTCTCAGTTCCTTTCTGTTAAATATGATTAAAACTTTCTTTGAAAAGATTTCTATAAATTAAACTTTTGAAAACAATTTTTTTCACACTTTATTCCAACTGTTTTGGATAAAACTATATTTAACAGCCGGTTGGTGCAGGGGAAAAATTAAAAAAGTATTTACACCGCAATTTTAGGTATAGCCCTCCTTACAAAGAATGCCATAAACTTATTACATTTGATTGATTGATTATCGAGATATGGTAATTTCACTGACCTTCTGTTAAAAACAAAAACAAAAAACGGCTTGTTTGATTCACTATAGTACACTTTGAAACAATATATCAATGTATAATTTATTATGGTACACTTTAAAACAATATATCAATGTCTGATTCACTATGGTACACTTTAAAACAATATATCAATGTCTGATTCACTATAGTACACTTTGAAACATTATATCAATGTCTGATTCACTTTGGTACACTTTGAAACAATATATCAATGTTTGATTCACTATAGTACACTTTGACGCAATATATCAATGTCTGATTCACTATAGTACTCTTTGAAGCAATATATCAATGTCTGATTCACTATGGTACACTTTGAAGCAATATATCAATGTCTGATTCACTACGGTACACTTTGAAGTAATATATCAATGTCTGATTCACTATGGTACTCTTTGAAAAAATATATCAAAGTTCTCTTAAAAAAACTAGTTATTGGAAATAAAGTATTTAATCTCGTCAAACAAAAAGTTTTCATTAATAATTGAGTTCAGGTGTTTCGCGCTTAGATTCCGAACTATTTAGAAAATTTATATTTACCTATTCCTGGGAACAAAGACAAGGTTACTGCGTACGTCAGTCCAATTCCTAACATGTGCGGTACAATCTTACTGCACACAGCCAGGCGTACTTTTAACCCACCTAGTACAAATATTATTGTACACAAGGTGCAAGGAAAATGGTTTGACACCAAAGAGAATAGAATATATATTAGAGGGGAATTTACTAGAAAAAAGTGTAAAACGGCCATTTTGTTGTACCATTTCCATACTGCAGGTGTACTTCACATATTTATGCTACATAACCTTTTGGACCCTGGAACATCATTTTATAGAAAATCTAAAATTAATATTAAAATAAAACCAAATTATGAAATAGGCTGGTTTCATAATTGACCAATGATCATTTCACATAGACTCTATAGCCTGTCACTTTACAAACGATGATTTTCCGTTATAACTATAAATCAAATGATATCCTTTATTCACCTAATTCATTATAAGCTTTATTTAACAGCCTTAAAAAATTCGAAATTGAAATAGATAGCTGCAGTTTTCTAATTCTAAAATGAGTTCAATTATTTTCAAAATGTCATGTCCAATTTGTACGTTAAAGTTTTAAATTATACATTGAAAAACAAATTCTAAAGTATTTAGTATTTAGTAAATAGTTTTCAGAAACATAATGTGTCATTTTTTATATTTTAACATCGGTTTAAAAAAAAAATTAGATTCGACAAATTTGTTTTTGTTACCATGAAGTCCTCTGAAACATTTGAAAATATTTCCTCCGATTTTCTTTCCCTCCACCTCGACCTCCACCAAACCATCCTCCAACCTCTCCCTCATCCTAGGTTTATCAATATCAATATATTTTATTTTTAAATATAAAATCAAATTGCACCCTTTAAAGGAAGTGTTCGCGAAAAATGAAAGTTAGTATAGATTAAATCGAATAAAATTCGATTTAAATCAACTATATACGAGTGCATCGAATTTAATTTGACGTCATTAAGTGAGATAAAAGCTAGGAGCTTTTTAGATAAAAATCTAAGTGTGAAGTTCTTTAGTAAACACATTCACTGCAGAGACATGCTATTACAGGGGAAATTTGATTTACACAAATCTTTAACAATCATTCTGTTTATAAAAGAACCCAAATACGATTTCTGTGTAAATAACAATCTGATTAATCTGTTTTTTTTTGTGTAAACAATATTCCCCTGAAAAAGTGACTGTTTTATACTAAGCACGTTTTCGTAGGTTTCGAGTGTGTTACAGTAAAATTGAAAAAATAAAGAATGATGCCATTTTTTCAGTTCATAGTATGTTTATATTTCTAAACCAACTCCGACTAAACGTTTATAATTTCTATAAAGAGTAGATTATACATACAATAGATACAATAGATGAATGTTTAAAGGGATTCGATAGTTTAGTGATGTGAGCTGCCAGGAGGGAGATATTCCTTACATAGAGATATCCTTTACATAGAGATATTCCTTATACACAGATATATTCCTTACATAGAGATATCCTTTACACAGAGATATTCTTTACATAGAGATAATCTTTACATAGAGATAGTCTTTTTATGGAGATATTCCTTACAGAGATATTCCTTATACACAGATATATTCCTTACATAGAGATATCCTTTACACAGAGATATTCTTTACATGGAGATATTCCTTATACAGAGAGATATTCCTTGTATAGAGATATCCTTTACATAGAGATATCCTTTACATAGAGATATTCCTTATACACAGAGATATTCCTTACATAGAGATATTCCTTACATAGAGATATCCTTTACATAGAGATATTCTTTACATGGAGATATTCCTTACTTACAAAAAGATATTCCTTACACAGAGATAATCTTTACATAGAGATAGTCTTTTTATGGAGATATTCCTTACATAAAGATATCCATCACATTTAGTTCCTTACATTCCTCACATAGAGATATTCCCAAAACAGAAATATTTCTTGCAAAGAGATATTCCTTATACACAGAGATACTCCTTATACACAGAGATATCCTTAACATAGAGATATCCTTTACAAAATTTTACAGTACGATATTTACATTACTGTACTCCAATTTGCTGTATTGTGCTAAATTTTACTGTACTGTACTGTACTGTACTGTACTGTACTGTACTTTCCTGTCCTGTATTTTACTGTACTGTACTGTACACTACTGGTAAGTATACCTGTACTGCGAACGACAGTTTGGACCAAATTCTGGGATTTGAAAGCTTTCATCATCATCTACAACAAAAAATGGAGATAATTTCACTTTTCGTTTTCATAAATAAAGAAGTCGTCTTTACATTTTAACATTTTAATGTATGAAGTAACAAATATTTAAGTTGTTATATAATAACAGTTTTGCAAAATATTATCAAGCATTTCTTCTATATAAGTACACAGACACAGTATATTTGGAATTGAATTATAGATAGAAAGATACAGTCAAATTTATGCAACATTACTGGTTCGGCTTTGTGACCTCATATCTCTTCCAGATTTGATTTTACGTACAACAAGTATGAGAACATAAATTTATCCTGATTTTGAATTTAAATTTTGAAATAATCTTGTTTTTTGGTCAATTTTCTTTTAAAAAAAGAGTTTTGAATGCATTTTAGATTTTTAAGGTTCATGGATTTTAGATTTTTAGATGATTTTTCTGATTTTACATAATCTGATGAAATAAGTTTTCACTTGTGTTTTTGTTTAAACAGCATTCATACCCCAAATTGTTATTTTCCAATTACATTAAAAAATCAATTATGAACTATCATCTTTGAAAAAGTTTGTCAATATTAATTAAAAAATAAACTATGAAAAAGTTTGCAAATATTAATTGAAAAATAAGATATGAAAAAGTTTGTCAATATCAATTGAAAAATAAACTATGAAAAAGTTTGCCAATATTAATTGAAAAATAAGAAATGAGAAAGTTTGTCAATATCAATTGAAAAATAAACTATGCTAATGTTTGCCAATATGAATTGAAAAATCGTTAGAATTTATTTCAAAAGGACAGCAAAAGATGAAAAAAGAAAGTATACAGATGAAAATTAATAAAAGAAAAGTAAAATCTAAACAAAAACAATCTTATTTTATCCTTTTAGTAAAATAAACATAAAACCACTCTGCTCAATCAAGTAAAATCTTCTCTATATTGAAAGTTTTGAAGAAAAGATTTATCCAGATTTCCCGGCTCAAGAACGTGATATTTCCAATACTTAAAGGGAGTGTATGCTAAAAGTTAAAGGCAGAATCCTAATCAAATTTGTATTCGATTCCTACTCATTTTACGTCTATCTAAATCGCTTCTATCTATATCGTCTACAGGCAATGCTAGAACAAGTTTAATGCTAACAGATGAGAGTCCATGTAATTTGATTCTGTTTCAGCCTGCACCCTTTTTTCATTTTTTCAAACACTCCCTTTAATTTTTTTTCTCAACTTTGTCAATCTTTCTGAGGGTAAATCATGCGTTGTTGACGAATCATGATTGATGGATCAAATGTGACCTTTTCTTTAGGTTTATTTATATGATATATTTGCATCATGGAATGTTTATTCATTTGTACATTTACCATACTCCTAGACATTTACCAATGGATTTATGATAACCCAATGGCACATTTTCTCGAAGGTGTTAGGTAATTTCCCAAGGGCGACTTCCTAAGTGACAATTTCCCAAAAGGCAACTTCCAAATTTGCAACTTCCCAAAGGTTAGGTTCGGCCTTCTGAGGCGCTGCAGGCTGAAGGGCGGGGTCGAGGGGGGGGGGCAAGCGCTGCTGCTAGAACAGACTAGGTGACGAGCACTGTGGCTAGGATATAATTGGGAAGTTGCAGCTTGGGAAATTAATGCACATTTGAAAATTTGCCACTTGGGAAAATATCAATGGGGAGTTGCCGCTTTAGAAAATTATACCTGTTAAACATAAATTATTTTTTTAAATTTTATATACTTTTTGATTAGCAACATGGTGGTTGCGTTTTAAAAGAACAAGTAAAAAAAGACAACTCCGCAAGGTTGAAGATTGTTAAATTATCGACCAAATAGCGGTTAAATTTAAAAAAAGAAACTGAGCACATCTAGCCCAGGTTAGTCTAGTTTGGAAACTGAGCACATCTTGACCAGGTTAATCCAGTTTGGAAACTGAGCACATCTAGACCAGGTTAGTCCAGTTTGGAAACTGAGCACAACTAGCCCAGGTTAGTCCAGTTTGGAAAGCATGTTTTTAAAAATTTAAAATATGAGTATGTTTTTGGTTTAAGATTATCTGCTGTGAATTGTTTTGTAGAGTTGACTCAAGTTTCCGTTGAACGTTGAATTGAATATTCATGATCGTTTATATATTTCGCTTTCAACTTGAAATATGATTTATTTCTGTATTCAAATCATCATCCATATCTAGCTATCTATCTTTTTATGTTGAGTTTTGTTCTCATCTATAATTCCAACAATGAAAATCCGCCAAATACATTAATAAACCGGTTTTATGAACTCAACTCGGTGGAAAATTAGATGCAACTAAAATTCAAAAGCCCAAGCCGTAAATAAGCCCAATCGACAGCTTAGACCTGAGTCGTATTTTCCCAATTTTTTTTAATCGCGGGCTCTGGAATTCAAGTGGAATATATAAATACAAAGTTAAATAAATCAGATTTAACAAGATTATCTTAAAGTTTAAAACTTTAAGAATTTTTGTAAGTTGAAAAGTTTCTGCTGATAAGATTAACTTTTCCTAGTGTGTGTTCCAATAAACTATAAACTATTTTCTTTAATATTTATATATATAATATATTCACATGCAGTGATAATTAGAAAATTGTAGAAAAAGACATTGAAGCAATACTGAAGTCGATTAGATGTTGTTACAAAGCAAACATCTTTGCTAGTAAGGAGCTACGAGTTCACAACGTCATACAAGTGACCCTCTTAATTTGTCTGCGAGTAAATTTGACCCTCTTCTTAAGTCTGCTTTTAGTTATGTGAATATAATCACACTTGTTCTTGATTCTAAACTGTTAATTAAAGTTTGTATCTCTTGTTTTGACGTTAAATCCTCCCCCCCCCCCCCCTACCACAACTAGCAAAGCATATAATGTAGTTAGAGGTTATGCATATTATAAATGATTTATGTATACGCTCTCAACTTCAAGCTTTATAGAATACATTAAATATTAAATATCTATGTAAAATATATTTGCTAAAAATTTAAAATTATAAAACTTAATTTAAAAACTTAATTTTTCAAAAAGTAAATTAGAGAATCTGCTTTTTGCTTTTTTACTATGATTAAAGAGAAATATATAAGGAATAAGGAGGCGTTTAAGAGGATTATGGAGATATATAAAAGGATTAGGTAATAAGAGGATTAAGGAGGTATAGAAGAGGATTAAGGAGAGGATCAAGGAAAGTATAAAAGATGATTAAAGAAGGTATAATTAAGAGGATTAAGGAGTTTTACTAGAGGATTATGGAAGGTATATAAGAGGATTATGGAATGTATATAAGGGTTAAGGAAGGTATATATAAGAGGATTAAGGAAGGTATATAAGAGGATTAAGGAGGTATATAAGAGGATCAAGGAAGGTATATAAGGATTAAGAAAGGTATATATAAGAGGATTAAGGAAGGTATATAAGAGGATTAAGGAGGTATATAAGAGGATTAAGGAGATATATAAAAGGATTAAGGAAGCCATATGAGAGGATTAAGGAGGCATATAAGAGGATAAAGGAGATATATAAAAGGATTAAGGAAAGTATATAAGAGGATTAAGGAAGGTTTATAAGGATTATGGAAGGTATATAAGATGATAAAGGAAGGTATATTAGAGGATTAAGGAGGCATATAAGAGGATAAAGGAGATATATAAAAGGATTAAAGAAGGTATATAAGAGGATTAAGGAAGGTATATAAGGACTAAGGAAGGTATATAAGAGGATTAAGGAAGGTTTATAACGATTAAGGAAGGTATATAAGGATTAAGGAAGGTATATAAGAGGATTAAGGAAGGTATATAATAGGATTAGGGAAGGTATATAAGAGGATTAAGGAAGGTATATCAGGATTAAGGAAGGTATATAAGGATTAAGGAAGGTATATATAAGAGGATTAAGGAAGGTATAAAAGAGGATTAAGGAAGGTATATAAGAGGACTAGGGAAGGTATATAAGGATTAAGGAAGGTATATAAGGATAAAGGAAGGTATATAAGAGGATTAAGGAAGGTATATAAGAGGATTAGGGAAGGTATATAAGAGGATTAAGGAAGGTATAAAAGAGGATTAAGGAAGGTATATCAGGATTAAGGAAGGTATATATAAGAGGATTAAGGAAGGTATATAAGAGGATTAAGGAAGGTATATAAGAGGATTAGGGAAGGTATATAAGAGGATTAAGAAAAGTATATAAGAGGATTAGGGAAGGTATATAAGAGGATTAAGGAAGGTATATAAGGATTAAGGAAGGTTTACCTGGAATTAAAGATTCTGTGATTGGAAGAAATGGTTTACCGTACATTGATTCATCAGACCCCAGTCTTCTCTCCTAAATATAATATTTACATTTATGCTATACTCCTGTACTCCTGTACGTCTGTACTCCTGCTCTCCTATACTCCTTTACTTCTGTACTCATGCACTCATGTACTCTTGTACTCCTGTACTCCTGTACTCCAGTACTCCTTTACTCCTGTATTATTGAAATATTATACAGAAGCTAGATTAGAAACTGGCAAATAAACTGTAAAACCTTGAATTCCTAAATACTGAACAACAAAGTTTATACAGAATACAAAACCAAACTTTTACACAATGTTTATCTTTTAGAAAACTCACACCCCGCCTCGCAACCTCAATTTTAATTAATGATTATCATAAAAATCTAAAGGGATTTGTCCGCAAAAATCAATCTGATGCAAAATAAAGCGATGGATTTTGCATCTTGTTGAAAAGTTTAATAAAAAGACATTTAACAGATAATTATTGTATTGATAACAGTAATTTTAGATTTTCAAAGTTAGCACATTTTATAGATAACATTTGTTAGGTTCTTCATGCAGTTTAGAAACAGATTCATGATAATTAAAGGGAGTGTTCGCGAAAAATGAAAGGGGGTATGGGCTTAATGCGATAAAAAAGCGCTTTTGATCGCTACTAATCTTACTTCTATCTGTTGCGTCTATAAGGAGAAAATTGTTAAAAACGACTCACACCGAAGAACGTAGTGTTCATACAAATTCAGAAAGATGCAACATTAAACTCGGATCGTAAAAATATCTATTTGATTCCCAACAAATCATTCAGATATTACAAACAATAGTCATCGATTATTTTTCGACGCATTCGTAAATAGTTGATATTTCATAATATTTTGTATTTTTCATGATCTGAGAGTTACATTTTTTCCTGTTTCGAGGATTTTTGATAATGAAGACGACATTTTCATATTTTCCAGGAATGTTTGAGTCGTTTTTAACAATTTTCTCCTTATAGACGCAACAGATAGAAGTAAGATTAGTAGCGATCAAAAGCGCTTTTTTATCGCATTAAGCCTATACCCCCTTTCATTTTTCGCAAACACTCCCTTTAAATAAAAGAATTAGACGTAGCCGATACCTCATTTTAAGAACCTTTGAAATTTGTTTTAAGTATCTAGATATGTACAGTGATAAGATTTATAACCAGAAAACTGTAGAATATATGGAATACGACATTAAAGTAAACCTGAAGTGCATTTGATGTTGTTTCTAAAGTTATTAAATCACCTATCAACGAAAATGGGACTGTTTTCACCTCACGGGCAGCCGTATAGTACATTTGAATTTCCGAGCCGGGTCAACCTTTCCGGCCCCAATTTGTACTGTATCGCCCGGACATTGGGTAAATAAAGCAGACACTCAATAGGACTAGCCTGTGCAACAAGGTTGACGCAAGCAGACTTTAGGTTGAATTTACCTTTACTGCAGGGTGAGAGGTGCCTGACTTCACAATTGCTGTGCCTTATATTTATTGGACTATTTAAAGTCATAACTTGAGTCTTACAGTATTCTTCCACTTCCAGTGTTTTCTGGTTATCACTGTATGTACAATATTGCATACATAAACATACGTACAGGGTTAATAGATTATCAAGTACAATAGGTGGCAAAAGAGAAATGGACCAATTATACACGACGTCACAAGTGTCAAATATAACAAGGAAAAAGAATTTTCTCACATTAGTTGACATGTTTTATAAGATTAAATAAGAAAATGTAAAAACAGAAAATAAAGAACACATAAAATTGCACTTATTTTACTGTAAGATAAGCACTATTCTAAAATTATCACTATCATTAATATTTTTGTCGGACACAAAAACTGAATTGACATTTGTGACGTCAGAATACAGCTGTACTGAGAGTGTACAAATTCTAAGTTGCCATCTATTGTACTATTACTAGATTAAAGGACGACTTACAAAACGATCGAAGATCAAACTTGGCGTTTGGCCTTCTTTATGGTTTTGAGGGATTTTAAAATTCTTTTCAAATTTATTGCCTTTCTTTTTCTTTCAAAGCTAAATCTTGATGTACTATATACCGTAGTACTTTAGAATGGAACTGGGGGGGAGGGGTGATTATACAGTACCCCTAGAGTGCTGGTTGACTGGTGGATAAAAAGTGTGATTAATTATCTAAGTTATGAATATATTTCATCCATTTTCATCTTTTTGTTTAACCCCTGGACACTCACAACTGTCAAAACAATAATATTTCAAGTTTTAGAATAAATTATTAGTAGAATATCATCAAATATAAATGATCTAATTTCATTAAATATTATATATATATATATATATGTATTATCTATCTATCTATCTATCTATCTATCTAACCTCAGTTTTTTCCTGGGATTTGAGTGCCATTGATATGTAGAAAGAAACAAACTCAGAACGCTGAACCTAAAAATTTCATTAGAAAGATAAGTTAGACATAATAAATAAAATAAATAGATGCACACAAATATATTATCAAGTACAATATAGGTGGCAACAGAGAAATGGACCAATTATACACGACGTCACAAGTGTCAAATATAACAAGGAAAATAAAATTTTCTCACAATAGTTGAAATGTTTTCCAAGATTCAATAAAAAAGTGTTAAAACAGAAAATGAAGAACACATATAATTGCACTTATTTCACTGTAAGAAAAGCACTTTATTTTTAAATTATCATTATTATTGATGGTTTTGTCGGAGACAAAAACTGAGTTGACACTTGTGGCGTAAGAATACAGCTGTACTGAGACTGTACAAATTCTACGTTGCCATCTATTGTACTTGACAATCTATTTGGATGCACCAACTTATTTTTTGATCTAGTATCTATGACTCTTAAAAGGTTAGATTGGACATGAAAACGATGTCTGAGGTCATCAAAAAATTTTCTTTCAAATCCCTATATGTTCAATAATTTACAAAATACTAATTTCAAACCTTTAAAAGAATATACACATTTTGTTGTCGTTTTTTTCTAGTTCTGAGCGCAAAACTGTGCGCGTAGGCCTGAATTTGTCTTATTCACAGTTATTTCAACACTAAGTTTATGTTGGGCTGATTCAATCAAAAAAATAATTTTGAATTAGATTTGCTATGAATAAACCTCATACGAGAAATTACTGTAGATATCGACAACATGAATAGTGTTTCTTTCAACACCTGCAGTACTTTAGTAAAATTTGAACCAAAAAAGTTGTAACTTTTGCAGTGCTGTGACTGAATGTGAAACTTGTGAAATAAAAATTAAATATTTATATCCCCAGAGGTGTTAATTCGGAATCCGTAGAAAAGACTAAAATAATCATTAAAACAAGGATTGTATGCTACATGAGTTAGGAATAAGCGCAAATTTTTAAAGATTAAAACAACAAAATGTCAAAAAAAAATATGCTTTTTTGTTAACAGGATTCCAAAAAGAACTGCGATGGCTTCCAAAGTAATTTTAATTAAAAGATAAAAAGGGAAAATAATTAAAGGTTTCTTCAAGACTTCGAAGGATCGTTGAAACTTATAAAGGGAAGTTAATTAAAGGAAACTTGAAACTTGTAAAGGGAAAATATAAAAGGATACTTGAAACTTGTAAAGGGAAAATATAAAAGGATACTTGAAACTTGTAAAGGGAAGTTAATTATGGGATACTTGAAACTTATAAAGGGAAAATATAAAAGGATACTTGAAACTTGTAAAGGGAAGTTAATTAAAGGATACTTGAAACTTATAAAGGGAAGACAATTAAAGGAGAATTGAAACTTGTAAAGGGAAAATAAGAAAAGGATAATAAAAACTTGTAAAAGAAAAATAATTAAAGAAGAATTGAAACTTGTAAAAGGAAAATAATAAAAGGACAATTAAAACTTGTAAAGTGAAGATAATTAAAGGATAACTGAAACTTGTAAAGAGAAGATAATTAAAGGATAATTGAAACTTGTAAAGGGAAAATAATCCAAGGATAATTGAAACTTATAAAGGGAAAATAATTAAAAGAGAATTGAAACTTGTAAACGGAAAAGGATAATTGAAACTTGTAAAAGGAAAATAATAAAAGGATAATTAAAACTTGTAAAGAGAAGATAATTAAAGGATAATTGAAACTTGTAAAGGATGATAATTAATGGATAATTGAAACTTATAAAGGGAGATAATCAAAGAATAATTGAAACATGTATACTTGAAACTTGTAAAGGGAAGATAATTAAAGGATACTTGAAACTTGTAAAGGGAAGATAATTAAAGGATACTTCAAACATGTCAAGAGAAGATAATTAAATGATACCTGAACTTGTAAATCAAAGGATAATTGAAACTTATAAAGGGAAAATAATTAAAGGATAATTGAAACTTGATAAAGATACCTAAAACTTTAAAACAAACCTTCGGGAAGAGGGTTAGGCAGAGAATGAGAATGAGGAGTGAGATAAGAAAAAATATTGTTGTGGAATATGTTTCCTCTTTAACCAACATCTTGGTGAGAATACGGAACATAGAGCTCAGTACTCCAGCCATACCTAGATAAAGACCTTGTTTACCTAGATATAGAACCTGGTATACCTAGATATAGAACCTGATATACCTAGATATAGAACCTGGTATACCTAGATATAGAACCTTGTATACCTAGATATAGAACCTGGTATACCTAGATATAGAACCTGGTATACCTAGATAAAGAACCTTGTATACCTAGATATAGAACCTTGTATACCTAGATATAGAACCTNCAAACAGCACTGAGAACGCTCGCAAACAAAAACAGAGAGATAAACGTACTAGGATTAAAAACATGACTGAAATGTATAATAATATCCCTGCACCAGACTATATGAAACAGCTTGCCACAATTATTGGCATGGATTAAAATCATGTACATTTGTAAAATAAAAATTAGTCCTAATAAATAAGAAACATTTTTTTGACATTTAAAAAAAAAATTTTAATTTGAAAAATTCTACCTTTAGAACGTTCTACCTTTTTAATTCTACCTTTTGTAATTCTACCTTTTGTTTGTTCTACCTTTTGATCGTTCTACCTTTTGTCGTTCTACCTTATGATCGTTCTACCTTTTGTCATTCTACCTTTTGTAATTCTACCTTTTGTACTAGAGCCAGATATAGAACATAATGACGAAATTAAAGAATTAGAGCCGTGGCATAAATTTAAGACGCGGCTCAAATATGGTTGGTTCCACTAAAAATTGTATTGAATGTTTCAAGATTTAAGCCTACGCTCAAAGGATACCGGTTTTTGGTGGATTTGAGACTCGGCTCAAATTCATTAAATTTGGACTCTGGTCTACCGCTTGAAAGCCTAAAAAAACTTCTCTGTCTTAAAGTGTTATTTAAATAAATTCAGTGAAAATCCGATTTTGTTCAAGTCATTTCCCGCCCAGATATAAACTGTCAAATATTTCTGCTTTTTCACAACCTATAAATTTAAATAGAACACAGAACACTGAATAAAAAACACAGAACACAGAACACAGAGAACACAGAACCAGAACAAAAAACAAAGAACACAGACCACATAATACAAAAAAAAAAAAAACACAAAACACAGAATACAGAATACAAAAAAAACAAAACACAGTACAATGAATATAGAACACGGAGCACAGAATACAGAAAACAAAATACAGTGCACAGAAAATAGAACACAGAATTCAGAAAACAAAACAAAGAACTCAGAATTTAGAACACAGAAGACAGAAAAAAACAAAACAAAACACTGTATAAAGAATACAGAACAACACAGAAAACAAAATACAGTGCACAGAATATAGAACACAGAATACAGAAAACAAAATAAAGAATACAGAATATAGAATAGAACAAAAAAGAATCTGAATCTGTAGAAAAAACACAAAATTTAAAAAACGGAACACAGAAAACAAAACAAAACACAGAATACAGAACCCAGTAAAAACGAACAAATTTCCTTTAATATAAAATGATGAAACCTAAATCCTTTGAATTTAAATTTTGAAAAATGCTTCTATTCTAAAGATAAGAGATGGTAGATATTCTTCTTATGAAGCAATGAACCATGAATTTGAAAATATTTTGCTGAGTGGTTGGATTTCAATCAGATTGAAACCAAATTTTAAAATTTTCGCACTTTTACTTTTAACAATATCTTAAATCTTACGCAGAGTACTTTAAACAATTTGAACAATATCTTACATTTTCATTCTTTACAATACAATTTTAACAATATCTTACATTTTCATTCTTTACAATACAATTTTAACAATATCTTACATTTTCATACTTTACAATGGAGTTTAAATAATTTCTTACATTTTCATACTTTACAATGTAATTTAAAAAATATCTTACATTTTCATACTTTACAATGCAATTTAAACAATTTCTTACATTTTCATTCTTTACAGTGTAATTTTAACAATATCTTACATTTTCATACTAATTACAATGCAATTTAAACAATTTCTTAAATTTTCATTCTTTACAGTGTAATTTTAACAATATCTTACATTTTCATACTAATTACAATGTAATGTTAACAATATCTCACATTTTTATACTTTACAATGGAATTTTAACAATATATTACATTTTCATACTAATTACAATGAAATTTTAACAATATCTTACATTTTCATACTAATTACAATGCAATTTAAACGATTTCTCACATTTTTATACTTTACAATGGAATTTTAGTAACTTCTTACATTTTTATAATTTACAATGCAATTTTTCTTATACTTTAAATGGGCCGTTGTGAATCAGACATGGTCTTCTTTTAAGGTAGGGTACATTTCGGTTTTATTTTCATTGGGTCTAACTTATCGAGTCCAATAGCTGGCAGCTGTACTCCACGTGACACAAGCTGTCGTCAACGGATTCAAAAGTCTAAGGTTGAGCCTTAAACCTAGGTCTAAGGAAGACTTGAACCGAAGCTTTAGAATCGCGAGCTCGGAACTCTTTCCTTACATCTAAACAAGAGTGACAAGAACAGAAAAATAAAGTACTTACTCTCCCCCAGCATGACAGCCTGCGTGTATCTAGTCGGGAGCATGCTGGTATACCCATAGAAGGAGGACTGCTGTACTGTAGATCCTAGATAGATAGATAGATAGATAGATAGATAGATAGATAGATAGATAGATAGATAGATATTTAGATAGATAGATAGATTGATAGATAGATAGATAGATAGATAGATAGATAGATAGTTAGATAATATAGATAGATAGATAGATAGATAGATAGATAGATAGATAGATAGATAGATAGATAGATAGATAGATAGATAGATAGATAGATAGATAGATAGATAATATAAATAGATAGATAGATAGATAGATAGATAGATAGATAGATAGATAGATAGATAGAAATATAGATAGATAGATAGAAAGATAGAAAGCTAAATAGATAGATAGATAGACTACAGCTTGCCGCATGGCAATTAACAATGCAAGAATTCAGAAAAATCCTCAAAAGTCGAAAATTCTTTAGTTGTACTGTTTGTTAATCATCAAAATAAAAATAATACGAATGAAAAGAGTTAGTAAAAATAAGAATAAAATAGCAATAACTTTTTACCATTTGACAGCAAAAAATTCTTTAGAAGAAAGGACGAAAATGGAAATAAGAATTGAAAATGGAAATAGTATTTCTCGAATTTATTGAAGATTTTGGAAGAAAAATGGAGAAAATTGATGTAGACAGAATTCAGGGATCAACGGAAATATATAAATAAATAAAAAGGCACATCAGCATCAGACCCCCACAAACATACATAATACAAACATACATAATACAAACATACATAATACAAACATACACAATACAAACATACACAATATTAACATATGTAATACAAAGACACATAATACAAACATACACTAAACAAACATACACAAAACAAACATACGCAAAACAAACATACGCAAAACAAACATACACAAAACAAACATACACAAAACAAACATACATAATACAAACATACACAATATTAACATATGTAATACAAAGACACATAATACAACATACACTATACAAACATACTCAAAACAAACATGCACAAAACAAACATACGCAATACAAACATACACAAAACAAACATACCCAAAACAAACATACGCAAAACAAACGTACACAAGACAATAACCTTGCACAATACAAACATATTTTTTTCCAATCAAAAGTAAAATAAGGTAATTCAGTGTAGAATTAGCTTTTTTGGCTGTGTGGGTAAACATTATTTGTGCGGGCCCGTCATATGTGACTTTTTAGTTTAAAGTAGTTTTGAGATACAACAGCCACGACTGTTAGATTGAGTTACCTAAGGATACAGCGGCCACGGCTGTTGAAGTAAGTTATCTAAGGATTCAGTAGCTACGGCAGTTAGAGTGAGTTACCTAAGATTACAGCGGCTACGGCTGTTAAAGTGAGTTACCTAAGGATACAGCGGCCACGGCTGTTAGAGTTGTTGCATAAAGTTGATTTCTACCAATAGAGGAACTCATACTATTACAGAGTACTACTAAACCTAGATATAGACAATATTTATTACTTCAAATTTGAGATATGTCTCGACTAATAAAAGTAATATGTTCTTTGTTTCATAACAGAAATATTGGCTGTATTTTTTACATAAGCAATGCCTTTTGTGAAGACTTTTTGAACTACTTGTTTTTAAGTTATTGCACATGCCTATAATATGTTCATAATTCCTATTTAATGAAGTGAGTATCGATAATATGTGTTTGTTTTCCATATGATAATTTTTCTTATTATTTCTATGTTTATTTTTAAAATTTACCTAGAGTAACTATCGCTAGGAAATATCCGAATCTGATTCTGTAAAAAGATTCAACTCAGTTTTTAAATTTAAATTCATTTAAAGTATTTTATGAAAAAAATGAATATCGATTCAAGCCTTGGAATAAAATAATGGGATTAAAATTTCGATTAGGGGGACATTTGTTTTGGAAAGATAGTCAGCTTAAAGGGACTGTAAGCGTAATTTCCAGTGACCCTCCATGCAAAGTTGCAATGCCCGATTTACAACGGTACCATTAAAAACTTTGTCTGATCAGGATTTACAAGATATCAATGGTTTTGTTTCTTTAAACTGTTAATTTCATTTGTGGTTTCGGTGGAAAAGTGTAAGATTTCAAGGGTCACTTTAAATTACGTTTACAGTCCCTTTAAACGCTTGTTATCCATTTATAGACCTAGATACTTCAGACTAGAAATTCTTTTAGCTCTACAAGATCAAAGGTTTTAAGGATCAAGTTGCAAAGATATTCTTTTAGATCTACAGAATAAGATTAAAGGTTTGAAAGATCGAGTTGGAAAGATATTCTTTTAGATCTACAGAATAAGATTAAAGGTTTGTAAGATCAAGTTGCAAAGATATAGGTATTAGAAAACTGTTTATAGAAGTATTAAAGTCATTTGTGAATGTTTCCTAAAGATGAAATTTAAATTTTGAAAAAAAAGAATTAGTTTTTAGGATAAAAGGAGCTTGCATGTTAAAAACTCACTGTCCGCAATAATCATTACAATGCTTCCCCCCCCCATGCTGCCGTACATCTTTCAAAGCAGTTTGCATGCATTTTTTGCACTTAAATATACCATAGCATTTCCATTCTATACGTGCAATTTATTTATTAATTAACATTTTTAAACTTTAAAAAAATCTACGAAATGACGCAAAATCCCGAACAAACTGTATTGTTTAAATGCAAAGTGTTTTAACAACAATTCTTGTAGAACACAGTGTTTACCTCTTTTCTTTCAGGTTTATAAAATACATTTTTGCATCACAGTCAACTAGACAGAAGAAGAAACTCAAATTTATGCGACATTACGGCTACGACTTTGTGACCTCGTAGCTCCTCAAGTTCTGGCTTTTTGTAGGATTATGATAAAAGCAAATGAATCCGGTAACATATCCCAAATCTAAAACATTTTTCCTCTTTTCAACATCGCATCAATAAGAGTTATGATTTAAAGTTTATAAGATTTTAATTGTACATTCAATTTATTTCAGTTTGACGTACCAACTTGCCAGTATGTTTCTATAATATAAAGTTGTAATCTCTGTTTGGGTATCAGTTTGTTTGTTTGTCAGATCATACTCAGGAACCCCTGGACGGATTTGCCTCAAATTTTCATTGGGAACTCGGGAGAGTCACGGAAATGTTCTTAGCTTGGTTTTGAGATTCTAAGTTTCGTGGTTCGACTTTAATAGCGAAAATCGTTTAAGCGCGGGTAAACGGCGGGAGTAACTTTAAGTTACCCGGACAGCGCTGGGTTCCCAAGCTATTATCTTATGAAATATAGCTTTTCAATCCTAGTTTCATCTTTAAAGTTAAATACACCCGATTTCAAGGGAGTGTAGATTTAATTTCAAGTAAGCCTCCTGAGAGTTTCATGTCTGAATCACAGCAGCACCATTTGAACCTTTGTCATAGATGAAGGATGATTATTTTTATTTTTATTTGTGGCATCTCTGTAAAAGTGACCTTAGAGTTCGGTATTAATGCTGCAGAGACATTAAGTAGCTGCAGAGACATAAAGTAGCTGCAGAGACATAAAGTAGCTGCAGACACATAAAGTAGCTGCAGAGACAAAAAGTAGCTGCAGAGACATAAAGTAGCTGCAGAGACATAAAGTAGCTGCAGAGACATTATGTAGCTGCAGATACATAAAGTAGCTTCAGAGACATAAAATAGCTGCAGAGACATAAAGTAGCGGCAGAGACATAAAGCAGCTGCAGAGACATAAAGTAGCTGCAGACACATAAAGTAGCTGCAGAGACATAAAGTAACTGCAGAGACATTATGCAGCTGCAGAGACATAAAGTAGCTGCAGAGTTATAAAGTAGCTGCAGAGACATAAAGTAGCTGCAGAGAAATTAAGTAGCTGCAGAGACATAAAGTAGAGCGAGAGACCTAATGTAGCTGCAGAGACATTAAGTAGCTGTAGAGACATAAAGCTGCTGCAGAGACTTTAAGTAGCTGCAAATACATTAAGTAGCTACAGAGACATAAAGTACCTGCAGAGACATAAAGTACCTGCAGAGACATAAAGTAGCTGCAGAGACATAAAGTAGCTGCAGAGACATAAAGTAGCTGCAGAGACATAAAGTACCTGCAGAGACATAAAGTAGCTGCAGAGACATAAAGTAGCTGTAGAGACATAAAGCTGCTGCAGAGACATAAAGTAGCTTTAGAGACCTTAAGTAGCTGCATAGACATTTAGTAGCTGCAGAGACATAAAGTAGCTGCAGAGACATCAATTAGCTGCAGAGACATTAAGTGCCTGCAGAGACATAAAGTAGCTGCAGAGACATAAAGTAGCTGCAGAAACATAAAGTAGCTGCAGAGACGTAAAGTAGCTGTAGAAACATATAGCTGCTGCAGAGACATAAAGTAGCTGTAGAGACATAAAGTAGCTGCAGAGACATAAAGTAAATCGTGAGAATTTAGCACTTTTTAAGGTTGAGAAGATTAATTAAAATAACAGATAGAACACTAGATGTGGTCTTTTCAAGATTTTCGTTCATAATAACCATGAGGCAGAAGCCCAAATGAGTTACGCGCATTCGGCGTAGAATAGCCTCTCTTTTTGTCTTGTAATTCTACGCAGCATGTACAATTATAATTTGAGCAAGCCCCTCTTTACTTGAAATTACTTCTCTAGACCCATTAACGTAAATAGAGTGTGAGGGGTGTGGTACTGGTAAGAATAGAAAAGAGGACCGGGGAGGGAGCGGGGACGGTAAAAACCAAATATAATTGACTAAAAGGAAACACCGCTAAAAGGTCGGAAATGGAAAGAAAATGGTAACTCGAGAAGAAAGAAAAATACTATTTAATTTCTTACACAAAGCAGTGAAAACTTTTTTCATATATTTTTGATATTACTTAGATAAAGTTTTATCCGCTTAAACCCAGCTGCAAAACCTACCGGCAAAGGCTGACATTTTTATTGTAAGGGAGTGTCCGTGGTGAATTAAAAAATAGGTATAAACACGCATCTCTGACCCTTTAGTAAAAGTAAATTCAACCTAAAGTCTGACCGCCTCAACCTTGTTGCACCGGCTAGTCCTATTGAGTATCTGCTTTATTTACCCAATGTCTGGGCGATACAGTACAAACTGGGACGGGAAAGGTTGACCCGGCTCGGAAATTCAAATGTACTACGGCTGCCCGTAAAATGATTAAAAACTTCTTTCATTTCTTTTCAATTATTCTGAAAATATATTAAATAAAAAACATACTTTATCGAACCCTGCATTTTGAAATTTGGTGAAAAACGGTGAAAAGAAAGTTTTCAATAGGGAAAATAAAAATTGGATGAATGAAATAGATAGATAGATAGATAGATAGATAGATAGATAGACAGATAGATAGATAGATAGATAGATAGATAGATGATAGATAGATAGATAGATAGATAGATAGATAGATAGATAGATAGATAGATAGATAGATAGATAGATAGATAGATAGATAGATAGATAGATAGATGTTTCCGCCGTTGCAATTTCTATTTGATCTGAATCGTCACCAAGCTAGTTACTGAACCCTGATTGAATCATATACCGGAAAGGTGAAAAAAAACTATTTATAACACTGTTATTTAGATTCGCAGTGTTATAAAGTTTTTGGACAGAAATTATCTCTTTATCGAGAAGGTTCAAGCCTTTTTACATTTAATTTTGTCCCGAGCTTTAGCGAGGGACAAAATATAAGCTAAAAAGGCGAGAACCTTCGAATTACAAAGAAAATTCAATTCCAAAAACTGCATAGCACGTCGTGTTATAGGTAATTTTATAAAACGTTTGTGTACTTTCTTATTTGGCTGTTTCTGGTTCAAATAGCTTTGAAACAAAGCAGAAGTCTAAATATAAAGTTGATCTCAATTATATTTTTATTTCAATTGAAAAAATTATTTTTAAAAATTCTAATTTTTTTGGAGAAAATCTGGGAACCAATCAAAACTTTATAGCACACGTGCTATAATGTACAGCTAATTTAACAATATAGCAAGATGATTACTTTTTAGCAAGTTCATGATGAAATTCACGATGAAGTGAGTAATAATGATCAAGTACACTAAAGTTTCATAAAAATTTGTATTGTATACATTTAATAATTATTACAGTATGAATGTAAGGATGAAAAAAATATGAATAAGTGAATGAATGAGTGAATGCCTAGAGTTAAGGGTGAATGTATCAATAAATATATTGTTAAGAAGAACTGCTAGTAGAGCTGTTAGAATATACACCAAGGAAATATCAAACATTATCGAACTGCCTGGGAACATAACCTAAATTATAGAAACATTACCGAGATGCCTGCAAATATACAGGGTGTCCCACGAAACATGACATTTAAAAAATCGTTATTTTTAGTTAAAACATCCTTTTGCTTCATTATCTTTTACTTTGAAATCAATTTTAATATAACATGACTCCCATATAATATTTTTATTGATCTTTGGTATCAAACAACTGATCAAATAATGGTAAAAGACATTCTAAACTATTCACCAACTGTCATGTTTCGTGGGACACCCTGTAATATAAACTATTACAGTTTATCGTGACGCCTGGCAACCATAAATAAATAAATAAACAAAGATATAGCTTATGTACGCAAAATCACCAAGATTTATAGAGTCCGTGAACTCATACTTCTNGTTTTACGACAAATATTATGGATTTTCTAAATTTTTTTAACGGATTTTCAAGAAATTAATTGACAATTTCAAAACTTTACTTAATAAAAAAAATAACTAATATATATAACTATTATAATATATATAACATAATCTAGTTGGCTTTATAATCAATGCATTGCTTTAAATAATAAGAAAAATGTATATTGGATTGGTTGGGTAAATCTTAAAGGATTTAAAGGTACTGTATGCAAAAAATTAGAATGGCAAAGTCTTTACTCGAACTAAACGAATGGTGTCAATACTTTTTTCATCTGATTTTTAATGGCCGAGTTTTTACAACTTTCTCATTACTCTAAACATCAGATGAAATGATACAAATACAATTTAATTCCAAATTCAATTCAAGTTTAGCCCTTATTTTTTTGCGAACAGCCCCTTTAATTGTTTTCTAGTTTTAGTATGGCCATTACCTTGTAGAAGTCTACAGCTGATACAAAACTATTATAAGGTAGAAGAAACCCTGTACCAGCAAGCACCATAGATATGTATACCAGGTTATACCTAATAATTAAACAATTATAACACTTTTTAAAAAATTTTATGTTACATTGATTAAAACTAATCTGAAACTGTACAGTGTTTTCCCCAATAAACATTTGTTTACATTTGCTCTAATAATACATAATATAACAACAAGATTCAAGAATAAATATAATAATCAGACCTTCACTTCAGCTTTATTTACAATCATACAATATATATATATATATATCAGCTCAAACTTATTGGAAATTATCAACTGAACTGTTTAAAAGTGAATTTATAGAAAATTGGGAATAAAACTTCACACAGGTTTATTTTTTAATAAATCAGGATTGTTATTTATTTAAAGGGTTCGTTAACGTACTTTCCATTAACCTCCCCCCCCCCACCCCTAATTAAAGAGATATCGCGTCTGCAACTATTCTATCTCAGATCGGACTAATTTCTTTGTCTCTGCTGCGTAAATGGGCAAACCAAATAGCAACTTCCATAAAGAACCTAAATTGAAAATTATCAATTTTCAGATAAAAAAAAACAGAAATATCTTTGTCATATCTTCTCAGATAAAGATAGAATACTGTGAATGAGGCATGCAACTTGTAGAATGTAGACTGGAGAGTCACTTCAAATTATATAAACATTCCCTTTAAGTATAATTTAACGAGAAACATTCTCTTGTAAAATTCAAATATTTATCATTGTCGAAATAATAAAGCTCTTGGCCCATATATAGATATTTATATGTCAATTGTCAGAATTGGCAAACGGCTAAACCAAATGGGCAAAAAAAAATTTCAAGATGAAATTTTTTATTTAAATTTAACGGGCCCGAGGCCGAATTTTAAGAATTTGAGCAGCGGCTTAAATTTGAGACGCGGCTCAAATATGGTTGGTTCCGCTTAAAATGGTATTCAATGTTTCAAGATTTAAGCCGGCACTCAATTGAAACCGGTTTTCGGCGGATTTGAGACGCGGCTTAAATTCATTAAATTCGGACTCCGGGCACTTTAGCCAGTGAGTTATTACCTCAAAAACGCATTATAAAGAGAATAGCTAAACTGTATCCGTCGTCCTATGCTCAAAAATATTATCCTTTTAGCTTAAAATTCCCAATAATAACTATTAAGTGGAAGCACTGCAGTAAACATATTCTGCAGGACGCACAGTAGTGTGACATACATAGCTGTATGTAAATAGATATTCTGTGTAATAATACTGTAGAAATTATGGTTTAGTGTGTGTAAATGAATAAATAATAGAATTATGTTGATGTATGTAGAAAAAGTAAATAAATACAATTCTTGTATTTTTTATACTGAAGGCTGGAGGGAAATCCATATAAACACATTTCGAGTTTTATCTCAAACTTCCATTTTATAAATATTTTGTTTTATTTGGAGAATAAAATTTCGAATTGATTGGAATTTATATTAGGTTTTCCTTCAGTTTGAGTTTTGCAATTCACACTACTCCACATTTTTCATTTTTCCTTTCTTCTCTTAATTTCTTTCTTCCCTTCCTCTTCTCTTCATTTTCCTTCTTTCCTTTCTTCTCTTCATTTCTTTCTCCCCCTCCCCTGCTCTTCATTTTCCTTCTTTCCTTTCTTATCTTCATTTCTTTCTTCCTCTTCCTCTTCTTTTCATTTTCCTTCTTTCCTTTCTTCTCTTCATTTCTTTCTTCCCTTCCTCTTCTTTTCATTTTCCTTCTTTCCATTCTTGTCTTCATTTCTTTCCCCCCCCCTCCCCTGCTTTTCATTTTACTTCTTTTCTTTCTTCTCTTCATTTCCTTCTTCCCTTCCTCTTCTCTTAATTTTCCTTCTTTCCTTTCTTTTCTTCATTTTTCTTCTTTCCTTTCTCCTCTTCATTTTCCTTCTATATTTTCTCCTCTTCATTTCTTTCTCCCCCCTCCGCTGCTCTTCATTTTCCTTCTTTCCTTTCTTCTCTTCATTTCTTTCTTCCCCTTCCTTTTCTCTTCATTTTCTTTCTTTCCTTTCTTCTCTGTATTTCTTTCTCCCCTTCCTTTTCTCTTCATTTTCCTTCTTTCCTTTCTTCTCTTCATTTCTTTCTTCCCCTTCTTCTTCTCTTCATTTTCCTTCTTTCCTTTCTTTTCTTCATTTCTTTCTTTTCCTTCCTCTTCTCTTCATTTTCCTTCTTTCTTTTCTTCTCTTCATTTCTTTATCCCCTTCCTTTTCTCTTCATTTGTAATAAATATTAGAAGTAAACCCTATATTTGTAAACCTGAGATACCCATTCACTGCGTGTTAGCATCATCTTCAGTTTAAATATGTTTGTTGATTTCTGAGAACTAAGTGCATTGGTTTGACTACAATTTAATTAATTACATAACCTGGACCATAAAACCCAAAATATACATTAGTTGAACAAAATCCTTTGTCTCCATATAAAGGGCAGAGTGTCAGCTCGAATAGTATCTCCTAAGATAGATACAGACTAAAGGAATACTTGAGTTCAAGATTGAGTTGTATCTGCACAATACATAATAAGGAATACATATAGGGCGTATCCAGGTTGATGCAGACTTAAGTATTATAGCTGATAGTCAGTTTGATTTGTATCTTGAAAGATAGATACCTAATGAATTCATATAGGGTCGTATCTGGGTTGATACAGACTGAAGTATTCTAGTTCTAGAGCGAGTTGTATCTTTAGGATACATACAGAAGAATATATAGAGATTGTATCACGGTTGATTGATACATGAGAATACAGTATACCTGTGTCCGAATTTAATGAATTTTAGCCGCGTCTCAAATCCGACAAAAACCGGTTTCAATTGAGCGCCGGCTTAAATCTTGAAGCAATGAATACAATTTTAAGTGGAACCAACCATATTTGAGCTGCGGCTTAAATTTAAGCCGTACGGCTCAAATTCTTTAAACTCGGCCTTTGGATTGGTAGAGGCTTATGTTAGAGTACGGCATTTATCTACATGTATAGTTTTATTATGAACATTATATTACTAGAATGTTTAACTGGTAGTGTGTATAGTATACAAGCAATCTTACTAATGGTCTACCCAATCCTATATATTCCATACATCTTTATGTTTATATATCCTCTTACAATTTAGACCATAGGGATGAATAGAGATGGAGGGTGGGGGAGTGGGGGTGGGGAGATGGAGCGGATTGAAAGGGGGAGGAGAAATGGGAAGAGGAGATAGAAGTATTCTGAAGGAAAGAAGCGTAAATAAAAATAGACATATAAAAGTGTCACTTAAACATATAATTAGGATAGGAGAAGGAAGGTTTAAATATGAGTAGGAAGGTTTGGATAGGAGTAGGAAGGTTGAATAGTAGTAGAAAGGTTGAAATAGGAGTAGGAATACTAGGATAGGAGTAGGAAGGTTGGGATAGGAATAGGAAGGTTTGGATAGGAGTAGGAATGTTAGGATAGGAGTAGGAAGGTTTGGATAGGAGTAGGAATGTTAGGATAGAAGTAGAAAGGTTTGTATAGGAGTAGGAAGGTTGGAATAGGAATAAGAAGGTTGTGGTAGGGGAAGGAAAGTTGGGTTAGGAGTAGGAAGGTTTGGAAAGGAGTAGGAAGGTTGGGATAAGAGTAGGAAGGTAGAGATAGGAAAAGGAAGGTTGGGTTTGGAGTAAGAAGGTAGGGATAGGAATAGGAAGGATGGGATAGGAGTAGGAAGGTTGAGATAGTAATATGAAGGTTTGGATAAGAGTAGGAAGGTTGGGAAAGGAGTAGGAAGGTTTGGCTAAGTGTAGGAAGGTTGGGAAAGGAGTAGGAAGGTTTGGATAAGTGTAGGAAGGTTGGGAAAGGAGTAGGAAGGTTTGGATAAGTGTAGGAAGGTTGGGAAAGGGGTGTGAAGGTTTGGATAAGTGTAGGAAGGTTGGGAAAGGGGTGGGAATGTTGGGATAAGTGTAGGGTAATTCGAAATTTTTGGTAAAAAGTCTAGAGCTGAAAACTTTAGAATGGTGGATATCAAGATCATTGCTTGATCTTCTTTTTTTATTAAGCTCCAGATTAAATAATACCTGTTCTCCTCTTGTTTTTAATCTCCAGATTAATTAACAGATCGGGATTAAGGATATCCCATTCTAAAGTTTTCAGCTTAGGACAGTTTTCTCTTTATATACAGAACAGGACGCACCGGTTAAAAAAAAGAAAGGAATGAGGCCAGGATGGAGGGGGGGGGGGAGAGGAAGATTTAAGGTATTGTATTGTGCAACAATATATGTTCCTCAAGAGAGATTAATCTACCAAACCATTTTTCTTTTCCCAGATATTCTTTATATGTTTGATTTTGTTTTTGCACATAACACTAGCTGTACTGCTTTACAGTTTCAGTACATTACACTAGCTGTACTGCTGTACAGTTTCAGTACATTACACTAGCTGTACTGCATATACAGTTTAGTACAAAACATTAAAATATGTCTTACAAAATGGATTACCATTGTATAGGGTGTACCAAGAAACAAAAGTAATTTAAAAACTACATTGATAAAGTTTTTCTACGGTAAAGTTAAAAATCTGTGAAAGATCAAGAAGATATTTAAGCAGTCTTTAAGTGTAATTAATGTTGCATCAAAGTAAATAATTCTACTAGTAGCTTAAAAATCCCTTACTGATTAAAATGACCGTCTGTGTTCACTGAACAGCTGCTGTGTTTCATGTTTATTTGTTCTCTTTTTAAAAATAACTCGAGAATAAATGTCGTCTTCATGTTACACAGTCTTCTGGTCCTCACCATATAATTTTTTGTTGATTAAGAGTGTATCTAAAATTGACTTTTGAGCTTTCTAAAATGGGGTTTAGCCTAACTTCTTTTTATCCAAAAAACAACAGATATATTAAATATTCTGCAGTCAATTCGGACTTTTTAAATAAATTGAAATCGGGAAAAAAATAACAACCCTATAAACAAAGATTAATCAAAATAACAGATAGAACACTAGATGTCGTCTTTTAAAGATTTAGGGGTTTTTCGTCCACAATAATCCCATGAGGCAGAAGCCCAAAGGAATTCTGCGCAGGCTGCGTTGAATTACAGAACAGAGAGAGAGAGCTTGCAATGCCTACGCGAAACTCTTTTCGGTCTCTTTCTCAATGCTTTTGTGAACGATAAACCCCTCAATCTTAAGAAGACGGCATATTGTGTCCTATCGGTTATTTTAATTAATCTTTGTCTGTCAATTTCAAAGTATGAAATTTCAGACCACATTTTATAAATCCAATCATAAACTACTTCCATTAGTAGATATTTTACCTAGACTAAATTACCAATGGCAAACTATAGATGTTGTCGCTCATTTTTTTGCGACACCCTGTGGCGAAAAAAAAACAAATTTGCAAATAATTAATAATTTACAATTATTAATATGCACGCTTTGTTACAGAATGAAAAGCTCTTGAGTTATAAAGTTTAAGTCTGAAACAGTAAAATTACAGGATGAAACTGGACAAATATGTGAACCATAAACTTTAAATAAACTTTCAAATAAAAAAGAAAAAGAAAAGAAATGGGAGGTAAAACAAGAAGACGATGGTAAAATTCCAAATTATAATTTGTGTACAGGGTGTCCACATCATATTAGATCAGATAAGATATTTTTATTACTAACATTACATACGACAATTATAATGTTACAGACAAACATGTTTCGTTTATATCTCTAAATTGAGATTTAAGGGACTAATCAGAAAATTTAAGATAAATCAATCACTCAAAAACATGCATAAAGCAAAGATAACGTTTTTTACAGAAAATGCCAGGTTTTTTCAGTATTATTTTTCAGTATTTTGGCGTTAAAGCTTGGAGATAATCCAATATATAATATGAGACGCTCTGTAGCACTCCCATTTTAGAAAGGCGAGGGATATTATAACGCTTTTTAAAATTCGCACCGATCCAGCCAAATCCTCGTTAATTCCGTTCAAGGTCATGTAAGAAATAACTAGAGATGGGTATCGTTTTTTTAACGAACAAAATTTTTATGTAAAAAACGGTGTCGTTCAGAAAAAAAAGAACGATATTCGAATGAAATGGATTATTCAGAGAAATGAAAGAATTATCGTTTTTTTAAAAAAAGCGAAAGAACAAACAAAAACTAACGATTTAAAATCGTTCAAACGAATTTTTAAAAAGCTATTGTTTTTACTGAACGAAATAATTCTAAAAAAGATTTGGTAAAAAATGATATTTTTTTTTTCTAAACTAACTTTTTTTTTGAACAAATTAAAAAAAAACAGTCTTTTTTACTTGAACGAACGATTTTATTTAACAAATGATTCTACTAAAGAAATGATTTTACTGATCAATCGTTCAGTGAGAAAACGACCGAATTATAGATGAAAAATTAACGATACTGTAGAGAAAGAAACGAAATAAATTTTTTGGAACGATTGAAAAAAACGAACGAAATGGGTTGTTCACGAACCATGAATGAACGAAATAAAAAAATTGAACGTGCCCATCTCTAGAAATTACCGTGCATGTTGGCTACAGTTTAAACTATTTCTTTAAAATTTAAAATCACAAAATGTTGCTAGATGTAAAAACCCAATAGAGACAGTACACGGAATAATAATGAAGTTTGTTTCGACCAATGACAACAAGCAAGAGTTAAACTAGTCATACCTGGTCAACTACAGTTATCCCCATAAAACTGTGGAATATGTTACCTGTCAGGTACAGGTGGGACAACTGTATGATCTCTCGAGAATGTTGATTCCCCCCTGTCCTTCACCCTTCCTCCACTCACTACACCCCTGTACATACATAGTGTACATAGATAAAGTGTACACAGATATAGTGTACACAGATATAGTGTACATAGATATAGTGTACACAGATATAGTGTACACAGATGTAGTATACATAGATATAGTGTTCATAGATACATAGTGTACATAGATATAGTGTACACAGATATAGTATACATAGATATAGTGTTCATAGATACATAGTGTACATAGATACATAGTGTACATCAAGGTTATAATGCATGGAAAGTTATTTTAGAGGTTTACGCATCTTTTGTACTGCAGTGTACTGTCTCTGGGCGGTAATGTAAACAAAAGACGGATGTCACAGCCTGACATGGAATCCATCTTTCACATAAAAAATCAATGAAATATTCTAGTCATAGGAAACTATTATGTGAATTATCAAAATTATCAAAATTTAATACTTTTAACCTCCTCGGATACTAAACGAACACTGATGCATCTATTCTTGTTTACAAATTCCGCCCAGAGAGAACTGGTTTCAATATGTACGCGGACTATACGCAACTGCAATTAACTTTCCTTGCATTAAAACCTTCGTGTACATAGATACATATTGTACATAGATACATATATCTTTATAAAGAAGTTACCGAAAAAAAAAAAATATATATATGTATATATGAAACCTGTAATGAATCCTAGTATAAATTCAATAAAGTATAGGAAAGCCTGGTGTAAGATTAAGACTAATTGATTAAGCCAGATAAACGATATAATGTTATTATACCACCAGGTACATGTATACCCACAATTAATTAGACTTTAGAGACTACTCTACAGAATTTATTCAGAGACTACTCTCCAGAATTTATTCAAAGACTACTCTACAGAATTTATTCAGAGACTACTCTCCCAAATTTATTCAGAGACTACTCTCCAGAATTTATATAGAGACTACTCTACAGAATTTATTCAGAGACTACTCTCCAGAATTTATATAGAGACTACTCTACAGAATTTATATAGAGACTACTCTACAGAATTTATTCAGAGACTACTCTTCAGAATTTATTCAGAGACTACTCTCCAGAATTTACTCTAAGACTTCTCTACAGAATTTATTCAGAGGCTACCCTCCAGAATTTATTCAGAGACTACCCTCCAGAATTTATTCAGAGACTACTCTCCAGAATTTATTTAGAGACTACTCTCCAGAATTTATTCAGAGACTACTCTACAGAATTTATTCAGAGACTACTCTTTATTCAGTCTTTTTTCTTACACTCAATGGTTTCCGAAACTTGTAAATTTCAATTTGATTTCAAGGTTGTCACCAAGATTTCATTATTTGTGAGGAACCTTGTAACTCACAGAAACAAAGGAACGATAAAAAATTTTTTACTTAGCAACCTTTGGAAAAAACGTTTTTTTTACTGATTTCAGGATATAATAATGCAACTGATAAAAGCGACACAAACATTACGTCATAACTTTAGATTGACCTTGATATCGTTTCATCCATATTTCTCCTTCACAGATCTCTCTCGTCTCCTTTACGTGGACTTAACATTTTATTCAAATATATCATCTATATATCTGTAAATATATCATTGATACATCTGATAATCTATTTTTTATATATCTGTAAATATATCATTGATACATCTGATAATCTATCCTTTATATATCTGTAAATATATCATTGATATATCTGAAACTGTATTCATATCATGGATTTTTCTGAATTCACTAATATACCTAAATCAAATTTTCATATTTGTTTGTATGTAGTTTGTTTATCAGTGTAAACACAATTATCTTTTTTACAACCATTTATTCATTAACATATTTCTATTTCAAACTAATCCATTTGAAATTATAAAACATTCAAAATACATATTATGGATGTCAGCCATTACTCTACTGTACTGTGCAATATTTCTTGTACAACTTTGTGACTTCATGGCTACTCCAATATATATTAAAAACATTATCAAGCTCTTTAAAAGAGGACTCTTCAACATGTATGATTTATATCTGACTGAAAAGGAATTGAGTCTTTGCCTGCACAAACTCACATCTTCTGATCCCTATAACTTTGCAACCTAATGGGAAAGCCCTTTGTTATTCCAAACTTAGATTAACTAAGATATACAGACTAAATCCCTTTAATAATACGACATGCAACATTGCCAACATCAGGACGAAGTCAAATTTAAATTGATAAAACAAAACAAAAAAACATTGTTTGGTTGCATAAAATGTTCTTATCAATTTATCAAGTCAAAGAACGGAGTCATGTCTAAAAACTTTCTCAACAAATTTAAATGAAAAAATTGAGTGTTCGCGAAAAATGAAAAAGGATATAGGCTGACGTCGAATTGAATTCGATATAGATCACTACTAATTTTACTTTTATCTGATGATGCATATCTAAGGATCGAGAAAATAATTAAAAACAACTCATACGAATTCACGGAGTTACATTTTTCCACTCAGATCGTAAATAATTCAATTGAAAACTAATCATTCAGATATTACAACCTACAAATGTCGAAGTCAATTTGATGCATTTGTTTACTATAATTGATATTTCATAATATTTTTCTATTTTATTTTTTCAATTAATATTTCGCGTAAAACTTGTTTTCTCGGCTGGCTCTGGATTTTCGAAAATTCCCAAAAATGTAAAAATGTCGTCTTTACTGTAAAAAATCCTCGAAATTTCAGGAATGAATATTCTAAAAATAACACTCGGATCATATAAATAAAAAGTTCTATTAAATATCAATTATATATGAATGCATCAAATTGAATTTGAAAATTATAAGTTTGAATGCAGAATGAGTAGTTTTTAATTTAATTTAATTATTTACGATCTGAGCGGAATAATACGTGAATTTGTATCGACGCTACGCTCTTGCAGGGTATAAGACGTTTTTACCATTTTCTCCTTATAAACACAACATATATAAATAAAGTTAGTAGCGATCAATATCGAATTCAATTCGATATTAACTTACACCCCCTCTCATTTTTCGCAAACCCTCCCTTTAAGTCAGCATATTGTTCAGATAAATTTTTTAATTGAATATATACTGAAAAAAATATTTATATATAATATGTTTTGGATATATCCTAAAAAATTAGAAAACTTCACTTTTCATCCATTTCATTTTCAAATTTCACGGTTTCAAAGAGAGGACAGCAGAATAGGATTATATCATTTGAAAGGATCGATAAAATAGAACCTGGCAGGATAAGTCTGGATAAAATAGAACCTGGCAGGATAAGTCTGGCTAAGTCTGGATAACATAGAACCTGGCAGGATAAGTCTAGATAAAATAGAACCTGGCAGGATAAGTCTGGATAAAATAGAACCGGGCAGGATAAGTCTGGATAAAATAGAACCTGGCAGGATAAGTCTGGATAAAATAGAACCTGGCAGGATAAGTCTGGATAAAATAGAACCTGGCAGGATAAGTCTGGATAAAATAGAACCGGGCAGGATAAGAAAAAACAGGAGATGACAAAATATGATAGAACAGAAAAAGCAGTAAAAAACAAGACTGGACAACAAAAAGAAGAATTAATAGAACAGATCAAGAAAAAAAATTACAAAGCACAGCTGGACAGCAACAAAAAAGAAAAAACAGGACAAGAAAATCCAGAACAAGAAAAACAGGATAAGAAAAACAGGACCTGGAAGAAAAAATTTCCCTTTCTCAGAAGATAACACTGTTAACTGTTTTGTCAGCTTTAATCATATTGATCTCAGAAAATTTAATTCTAAAGGGACAGTGCACGAAATAGGTTTCCCTTCATTGCATTTTAAAAATCAATAATATATAATTTGAATTTAATCTAAAGCAACCAAGCAATCTAAAGCAACTTCTAGCCAAGTAAGCATGGCTACAAGATAACATTTTTGGCCAAAAATAATTATTCACTCTGCAGGCCACTCTTGTGTGTCGTGGTAGGTCACAACTCTTTTTTCCTGAATTTCGAAACAAAATTGAACGTTAACTTAAATTATTAATTCATTTTTCAAAAAGTGAAGTGTTATAATCTGGGTAAACGTTTTTAGATATTGTATTATTTCTTCAAAGTTTCTACAATTTCCATGTCACAAATTGATCAGTATTTTTTGAATAGCTCCTTTTTTGTATTAAGTGTGATTAAATATTCTAGTATGGCTTCAATTGCATTCATAACAAAATATGGATTTCCATAATTAGATAAATTTAAGATAATATTGATGGAAGCAAAGCAAAACAATAGAAATAGTAATTAGAAAAAACACTTCAAAATCAAAACTCGGAGGGAGGGTATAATTGATATTTAAAAATTTGTCTGTACATACGCTTAATTATTGAATTTACCTAAAACATATTTTGTTTAGTTCGAACTTGAATTTGAAAAATTGTAGCTTATCAGAGGTAGAAAAGTAAAACAAAAAATTCAATTTTTCTTTTAAAAGTTAACTTATATTTTATTCGCAAATCAAGGAAAAACAGTTTCATGATAAGAAAAATCCTAGATTTGTTATCCATTTATGATTTGCTGCGGGGTGGTGGGGGGGGGGGAACTGGTAACCACCCCCTTGCCGCTTTTCAGTTACTTAACATAAATTTATTTTAAAAGTGCCAACTTAAAACTCGCATATATATATACACTTTTAGGAAGGTAACTTATAGAAGTTTATTTCGAAATGCACTGAACTGTTGTATAAAGCATGTGGGACGTTTTAAAAAAAATAGCTCAAAACTTTAAAGGCTCACAATTACAACCCCCCCCCCCCGTCCCCTACCCACCCACAAAAAAAACCAGAATATGCTTTAAGAGGTTCGTTGATTTTATAGTCAGCTATGTATTGATTTTTACTATTACTCGTATATAAACTATACAGGTTTGAGAAAGTAAGGCTTTTGTAATGTGCAGAGTACAGAGTAATAATGATAAATGAATAAAAGAAAGAAATTATGAAAAGAAGTTCTAGATAAATATATTTTTACATATTCCTGCGTAGCTTATATTCATCATTAAGGATGTATGTATGGCTGAACCTATTCACTATTATGCTTAAACAAAAACGAAAATCTTCTCCTGAAAACCAGATTCAATGAATAGCAAGAAGTAATTTTACTACATAATAGGATGTGAAGTACTTTCCGAAAGGTATTTTCCCGAGAGACAACTTCCTTAGAGTATTTTCCTAATTGGCAACTTCCCATGAGTATTTTCCCAAGTGGCGACTTCCCAAATGGGCAATTTCCCAGGCGGCAACTTCCCAAGTCTGCCCTAGCCACAGTGCTTGGCCCTCTAGTCTGATCTTGGGAAAATGCACCGTAGTTTCAGTAGAAGTAAATATTTCCATTAACTGATAGCGCCGATTGTTGGATTCATAACTCCGATTGGATAATGAGATATTTCTATTGGTTCAGAATAGACATCAAACACATGACTGAACCCTGATTGGATCAGGAGCTAATGGACTCGGCATACAGGAGTGAATGCCTGGGAAAAACTATTATAGAGGTAGCTGAACCACTTGTATGGCACGACGGTTCAATTTGAAGAGAAGTAGTTCAACTAGCCTGCGTATAGTTCAAGTTGGTTCCTAGATCCAGAGAATTATGAAAAGTTGCATCATTATTTAAGACAGGATCGACATTAAATTGTTGCAATGCATTGGCAATTTATATTAGCTCACTAACTTACTTTTTTAGACATAAAACTTTCAAGCACTTGTTTTTGCTTTGGTTTTAAAGATATAATTGGCAAAATTTCCCACGATCTCCGCTTAAACGCTTGCAACCTTTGAACATCTGACATTTTTCGGGGTTCCGCCAAGCGCTACGAATACAAGCTACAGCACGTGTAATATAAAAACCCCCGAAGAAAGGACTTTAACAATCAAGAGGAAAGAAAGAATTGACAGTTTCCAATTCTAGCGGCCCAAGGCTGATAAATGAGACAAAAACTAAAACTCCACAAAACCAAAGCTTCAGATTGTGAAAAAAAGAGATTTCTTGTTTTTTTATCATTCAGATCATTTTTTCGATAAAATTAAATTTCATAATTAATCTTATTTCCAAGATATATAAGACTAAATTTGTAAATTTGTACTAAATTAAATCCATATAATATAAATATAATTTCGGCTTGGATTTGTAGAAAGCACATTTGACCTTTAAAGGTTGGCATCTGCAAACTCTATATTGACGGAAGTAAAGTTCAAAATTTTAAAAAGTTCAAACATAAAAATATACTGTTAAAATGGTTATATTGAAGAAACCACTTTGACTAGAGATATTAAAATATTTAGAAATATGTAAAAAGGGACTGCAGACGATATTTTAAATACTATAAAATCAACGAATAGCATGTCCGATTCACAACGGTATTCTTTTAATATATGTCAAGTGATGAACAAAATATCCTTATTTTTCCAGCTATAAATTGATTAAATTCTCACTGACTAGTAACCAGGACCTCAACACGTATCCTCAAATATAAGCTTTCCGTCTGAACTGCAGAGATTCTCAATGCTCTGTCCGAAGAACTGGCGGGTTTTAGTGAAGAGTGATATAC